GAGCATATAGATGTTGAAGAGGAGGGTACCAAAGACAGAGCCCTGAGAAACGCTGCACTATACGGTGCAGGAGCTAGAGGAGAAACCGTTTGTGGAGATGAAGTAGAGGTGGTGTGAGAGGTACGATCTGAACCAGTCAAGGACAGAGCCTTGAAGGTTGAGGTGAGAGGCGAGGCGGTGGATGACTGGTTGACTGGTCACCTGTGCTTTAAGGGAGCGGAGGTGGCTGGTGTACCATTGTGACTGATGTGAATAGGAGACGGTTCAGGAAGAGAGGGAAGCAAGGAAATCGAGAGTGAAGGAGAGGGAGCTGTGGAGAAGAGTGACCGAGGAGGCCAGGTCATTGCGGGAGGAAGCCCAGAGGGGGAAGGAGTTCATGTGACTCCCAAGGCAGCTGAGAGGGAGGGTGTTGGGATTTCTTTCCAGGGGTGGTAGGAGATGGGGTTGGGTGGCGGTGGGAGAGGGATTGAGGAGTTAAGTTAGATGAAGTGATGGTCCGAGATCACTTTGTCGATGATGAGTGGGGTCTGAGGCCCTGAGTTATTACAAGGGGGTGACCACAAACGTGGGTGGCAAAGTGGATGTGGAAGGAGAGGTTGAGGGAGGAGATAAGGGAGGAGAAGTCAGCAGAGGTAGAGCAGGAGGGGGTGAAGTGAAGGTTTAATTTGCCTAGGATGAGGAGGCGTTCGGAGCAGAGGGACTGGGAAGATAGTGGGTAACATTAAAGGGAATTTTAAAATATTTTACAAATACATCAAGAAAAAAAGTTAGTCTAAGGTAGGGTGGGACCAATTAAGGACCAAGGCGGAAATCTTAGTGTGGAGGCAGAGGGCATGGCTGATGTACCAAATGAGTAGTTTGCATCTGTCTTCACAAAAGAAGTGGAAGCACCAAATGCCGCAGTATCGGAGGAGAGGGTAGAGGAAATGGATAGGATAAGTATAAACAGAGAGGAGGTACTGAAAAGGTTGACTGGGCTGAAGGTAGATAAGTTTCCCGGTCCGGACGGGATGCAGCCAAGGTTACTATGGGAGGCACAGGTACAAATAGCGGAGGCTTTGGCTACAATTTTTCAATCTTCGTTGGACACAGGAGTGGTGCCAGAGGACTGGAGAGTGGCCAATGTTACTCCCCTGTACAAAAAGGGACAGAAGGACAAACCTGGGAACCACAAGCCAGTCAGCCTAACATCAGTAGTGGGGAAACTTCTGGAGACTATAATCCGGGACAGAATAAATCTTCACTTAGAAAAATATGGGTTAATTAGGGACAGTCAGCACAGATTTGTTAAAGGCACATCTTGTCTAACGAATCTATTAGAATTTTTCGATGAGGTAATGGAGAGGGTGGATAATGGTAGTGCAGTTGATGTAGTTTATACGGACTTTCAAAAGGCATTTGACAAAGTGCCACATGAAAGACTTGTAAGAAAGATAGAAGCCCATGGTATAAAAGGGACAGTGGCAGCATGGATCCAGAACTGGCTGGGAGACAGAGAGCAGAGAGTTGTGGTGAACGGCTGCTTTTCTGACTGGAGGGAAGTGTACAGTGGTGTCCCCCAAGGATCGGTATTAGGACCACTGCTCTTCTTAATATACATAAATAATCCAGACTTGGGTAGAGCAAGTTAAGTAGGGTGGTAAACAATGAGACAGATAGTAGCAGGAAGACAGAATGGTAAAATGGGCAGACACATGGCAGATGAATTTCAATGTGGAGAAATACGAGGTAATGCATTTTGGTAGAAAGAATGAGGGGAGGCAATATAGGCTGGTAATACAATCTTAAGGGGGGGTAAAAGAACAGAGAGACCTGGGGGTTCAGGTAAATGAATCCTTGAAGGTGGCAGGACAGGAAGATAAAGCTGTAAAAAGGGCATATGGGATAAAAGGCTTTATAAATAGGGGCATAGAGTACAAGAGTCAGGAGGTTATGATTAACCTGTATAAAACACTGGTTAGGCCTCAGTTAGACTACTGCGCCCAGTTCTGGGCACCACACTATAGGAAGGATGTTAAGGCATTGGAAACGGTGCAGAGGAGATTTACGAGGATGGTACCAGGAATGAGGGACCTTGATTATGAGGAAAGGCTAGTGAGGCTGGGATTATTCTCATTGAAGCAGAGAAGATTACGAGGAGACCTCAAAATCGTGAGGAGATTTGATAGGTTAGAAAGGGAAAAACTGTTTCCACTGGTGGGTTTGTCGGTGACTCGAGGTCACAGATTTAAAATAGTATCTAAATGAAGCAGAGGGGAGGTGAGAAGAATTTTTTTCACGCAGCGAGTTGTTCGAATCTGGAACAGATTGCCTGAAAGGGTGGTGGAGGCCGATTCAATAACTACTTTTAAAAACGCGGTGGACGGGTATTTGAGGAGGATGGGTTTGCAGGGTTATGGGGAAAGGGCTGGGGAGTGGGATTGACATTACATTGCTCTTCTCAAAGAGCCGACACAGACTCGATGGGCCGAATGGCCTCTTTTTGTGCTGTATGATTCTATGATAGGAGGGTGGAGATGTCGAGGATGAAGGTGGGAGAGGGCTTGGGCGGGCGAGAGATAAGGAGAATTTTGAGGGAAAGGTTGGAAGGGTAAGGTGCTCAAAGGAGGTGAAGCTTCCAGAGGAGTAAGGGGATAGGCCAAGTGGGGACCGGGAGATGAGAGCCACACTGCCACTATGGCGGTTAGGTCGTGGGGTATGATGGAAGGTGTAGCCGGGTGGTGTGGCCTTTATCAGGCGGAATGTGTTGCCTACAGTGATCCAGATTTTCAGTGAGGGTGAGAATGTTGATGTTTTTGTCAACCACAACAACAAAATTACATTTGTAAAGCGCCTTTCACGTCGGGAGGACGCCCAAGGCGCTGGACAGACAGAGTTTCAGATCCAAGCTGGGGGTCGGGGTTAGGAAGGGTGGAGGGCAGGGGTTTTGACAATGAGGTCATGGATAGTGAGTGTTTTGTTTGGAGAGGGAGCCCACATTTTGTAGGCTGATGCGAAGGAGACAGTTGGTGGCAGAATGTTTTGGGGGAGGGGGAAGACTGACGGGGAGGGTAGTGATGTGGATCAGGGAGGAGAGGTTGGCCCCTGTTGTCAGTGACCAATGGGCCTTGCAGTGAGAATGGGGAATAGGGCAGTCACAGTGACTGCTGTTGGACAACCAGTGGCGTCTGCCACGGTGGGCCCGACAGAGGAATCGCAGGCTGGAGCAGAGGGAGGCTGTGGGACAGTCGAGCAGAGATAGGAGTCAGGGAGGGCGGAGAGAGAAGAGGACCGAGCGGGAGTAATGGAGGATAGGGGACAGGGGTGGGAGCATTATGGGGAAGCAGCTCGGGTCAGTGAGTCCAGAGATTCAAAGGTGGCGGGCGGATGTGACATCACGTGGCAGCCAGTCTCTGGTTGGATGTTGATCAGGAGAGTCAGTGATGGTCAAGGCGGCGAATCCCACGTTGGCTTTGTGCAGCTCAGGCTCAGGTAGGTGGACCTCGGTCCCCAAGTTGGATCTGGACACCGTTTGGGGAATCGGGCCCCATGTCGGTGCTGCCCTCGAGCCCCACTCGGCCTCGCTTGCGTGTAAGCCAGGGGCCCTGCCCCAGCCGTGTCTGGGTTTGTATGCGGTGCTGGGCCCTGAGAGCTCCTGTAGCCTCGCTGGTGTCCCCCCCACCCCCTTCAAGAAAAAGCCACCAAGTTTTTGCTAAAGAAGCATTTAATATATTTTTTGCAACAATCTAATATGTGTTTTCTCATGTTTGGTTTTTATTAATTATTATTATTAATAAGCTTTAAAAAAAGTAGGCTGGCAGTAAAATGTACCTCAATAGCAGCAATCAACCCCCTACAATTTTCCGCAAAATGCACAAATCTCCCTGCAATTTGTGGCAAACACATCCGCACTTTTTCGACCCAGTTTATTACTCTCTCTCTCAAATTTTTGAATGTAGCCCTTTGATAAAGGGTTTTCAGTAAAACAACAAAACTATTTATGTAAAATTAACCCCTTATAGCCTCAATTGCAGTGATATAAAACATCAGGGCTTTATGTTTACATTTTCTTAATACTTTACACTGCAGAACGTCTTGGTAGTCTGTTCCAGGCAGGACTGGTATTCTCAGGCACTGTTGGTGATGAACCAGCCTAACTGGCTCATGAGCAGTACTTGGAGGAACAGACTAGGCTATGCTTCTTTCCACTTATCTGAAGATGATCTTGCAAATTAAAGCTAGGATTGACAGATGAACATAGCTAAACAAGCAGCAGGAAGCAAGCTGTGTGATTCTAGCTGGTTAAACTCCATGAACAGCCTGTGCCTGGCAAAACTCCCCATGAATGAGAGTCTGCACTTCATATCAGACATCAGAAACCATACATATGTGTTACTCATAGCCTCTAAATGCCAGGAGTGAGCCTTCAGAGCTAAATCTAAGTAAGCGCTCTAAACTGCCTCATCAACTTGTGTAAAATCATTAGGTCATGAATCAACAAGTTGCCTCAGTCAAAGAGAACTGATTGATTTGTACTTGTGAACAGGAGGATATCAAGGTGATTTCTGTGGCTCCTGCAAGGCTACTGTGCTCTTGGCTCTTAAAGGTACAATTTTCTGTAGTTTTCAGCTATTTATTGATGCATATACAATATACATATTGTATGCAGAAGGATAAAGAATGAGGACAATATTTCAAGATAGATTAGACTATTAATTTCATGAATTATTGATTTCTGTAAAATAGTTTACTACTAGATAGTTTTTAATATGAATTTCAGTTACTAATTTTTTTCTGAGAAAAAGTGCAATATAGATGTTAAATTTGAAATGCATGTATTTGAATCAGGATGGATGAAATATTAAGTTGGCCTTTTTGTACAAACTAGCAGTTGCCATGCGACTAATCTTTTTTCTTTTCACCTACCTCAAGTGTCTGTGGAATGTGTACTCTTAGTACAGTAAGATTATTTGTTCTTTTTGAGTTTTGGGATTATCTTTCATTGTTTGTTTCTTTTATAGTGATCATATGGAGAACGTATGCGGATACTTGATGAAATATACTAACCTGGTTACTGGCTGGCAATATCGGTAAGTTAAATATGTAAAATTTCTCAAATTTTATAGCTGTGTTCTTTCTCAATCAAGCCTCTACTTGTTCAGGTATACCATTTGTTTCTTTTTGTCTTGCTCTTTGAGTATGCCTCCCCTACCCTATCCTATGTGAAAGGTGTTGTATAAATTAAGTTGTTTAATTGATGTAATGATGAATTTCACAAATGCTTTGAAAACCCAGTTACGTCTGTCTGTCGTTTGTCCTAGTTTGTCAAATCTGCTCCGATGTCCGCAGAGGCTGATTCACGTCCTTTGCGAACCTCAAAAAATTATCATCTGATTGTTGTTCCTTTCTTTTTCTCTGGCCTTCACTCTCCTTTCACTCTCCCCCTCCTCCAGTGCACATTTTCTGTTACCTATTTATTAATACAGTGGAATCCGCTTTAGGCGGACGACAGGTAAATCAAACAAAACGCCTGGTCCGATTTATTTGTATTCTTATCTGTCTTAAATCTGTCAATTGATCCGGTTAATCCAAGTAAAATGCCGTGCTGGTCACTTCCGAATGTGCAGGAGTCAAATTGCAGAGCCACTTGTGAATGGGTGGAGCCCAAACATTCACAAGTTGTTCCAAATATGTCAATCACCTCAGCGCCGCCATTAATTGGTCTCCTTCCTGTCCAATGGGAACAACACTGGGAGTGAGGAGGGGCTGCTGATCCCCTGCTGGGTGGGAAGGTATTTTGCAGCCAAACAAAGGTTTCAGTATTTTACTGAATTCTGAAAGAATACAGGATTTTAACTTTAACTCCTTGGTTAAAATATTTGGTATCCTGTTTGGTCAATTAACATTGCTTTAAGTGAAACAACATTATTATGTATCATATGGAGTCGGCTGGGCTCCTCTGCTGGGCGTGAATGGTATTTCAGGCAACCTCGGATGCCTATTGAGCCAGACAAAATGGCTGACTCTAATGTGTCCAGCTTAACCAGCTTCCTGTGTACTTCTATGCTCCTTGCTCCTCTGAGCTTCCTTTTTTTCCCCCTAAATTTCCATTGAATGATCCCATAGACTTGCCCCCCCCCCCCCCACATTCTCATTTTGATAAAAACATTCTGTACAAGATGAGGAAGCTGCATCATGTTGAGTTAATGTATCTAAGCATTTGATGAACAAAGAAAAGAAGTGTTCTTTGTGGTGATCTTTTTTTTGCTCTAGATTCTTTGTTTTAAATAATGAAGATGGATTATTAGAATATTTTGTCAATGAGCAATCCAGAGGTCAGAAACCACGAGGTACTTTGCAGCTTGCGGGTGCTGTCATTTCTCCAAGTGATGAGGACTCGCATACTTTTACAGTCAATGCAGCCAGCGGTGAGCAGTATAAACTACGAGGTACAGAATTGTTCATAGTTCCATCCTTAACTTTTACAGAAAAAAGTTGAGACAAAAATTTACATCTGCATGTTCTTCCTTGGTCTGAATATACATATTAATGCAGTGTTATCCTAATTGTATTTACTGACTTAACAGTATTACTGTATTTTGGTGAAGCATAATCACTGAATCTGGCTAACAAAAGATTTTTTTGTAGCTTCTGTTCACAAAATTACAAAATCACTCATCTTGAAATATGCTTTAATAGAGTTGGATACATCCTGAAACAGCTTTAGACAGAATTGTTTTTCTCTATGATTATTATCTATATCATCAAATCATGCTGATATAATTTGTCACCCACCCTCCTAGAATTCTGTCTTAGATAGGTCTATTTGAATGGTTCAGGTCCTACCTTTCACACCGCCTCCACTTCGTCGCAGCAAACGGCTTCTCCTCCAGCCCCCGAACCTTCTCGTGGGGCGTTCCTCAGGGCTCTGTCCTCGGTCCCCTCCTCTTCACTCTCTCCATGCTCCCCCTTGGTGATATCCTCCGCAGACATGGGGTAAATTTCCACATGTATGCAGATGACACCCAACTGTACCTCTCTGCCTCCACCCTGAACTCCAGGTCTACTGGCGTCCTGACCGACTACCTGTCCGACGTCAAGTCCTGGACGAGGGACAACTTTCTCCAACTCAACGTCAGCAAGACCTCCTGATTGGCTCGCGCCAACGCCTCCGCACCTCGGACGCTGGTAGCATCAGCATCCTTGGCTGCACACTCAACCTCCCTAAGGCAAGGCAGGATCCTGGGTGTCTTGTTTGACGCTGAACTATCTTTTCTTTCCCCACATCCACACCATGACCGGCACTGCCTACTACCACCTCTGCAACATTGCCAGACCCCGCCACTGCCTCACCCCTCAGGCTGCCGAAACCCTCACCCACGCATTCGTCACATCAAGGCTCGATTATGGGAACTCCCTCCTCATCGGCCTTCCCAACTCTTCCCTTTACAAGCTGCAGATCATCCAAAACTCTGCAGCACGTGTACTATCGCGCACCAGGCTCTGACCCCATTCACTCCCACCTTCGCCCGAATCCACTGGCTCCCCGTCCCCCAGAGGATCGAGTTCAAGATCCTCGTCCTCACCTTTAAGGCCATCCATGGCCTTGCACCCTCTTACCTCTCCCTCTCTGACCTGCTGACTCCCTACCAACCTGCCCGCTCCCTCCGTTCAGTGGGCTCCAGCCTGCTCCAGCCTCTCTGCCCTCACACTGTGGAACTCCATCCCACGGTCCCTTCGCCTCACTTCCTCCCTTACCTCCTTGAAGGCCGGTCTCAAGACCTTTCTTGTCGATCGTGCCTTTGGTTGCTCTCCCACCTCTCTGCCTTCCTTCACCCCTACACCACTCCTCCCCATGCTCAGGCCCCGACACCTGACTGTTCAGCGCTTTAGGATGTCCTCCTGACACGAAAGGTGCTCTATAAATGTAATTTTGTTGTTGTTGAATGATAAACTAGGGTTTCTGCAATTACTCAGTTAAAATAAAACTTTTTCATTCTAGCCACTGATGCAAAAGAGCGTCAGCACTGGGTTAGCAGACTTCAGATTTGTGCTCAACACCACACAGAAGCCATTGGCAAGGTAAGATGGCAAGGTTTTCTATAATTCCTATATTTCAACACCGTATGATACAGAGTAAATTGTAAAGTACATTTATAGTAACTGCAATTGCATAATTTGTCATTTTTTAAAATTGTTTTATGAATGAGGTTTTTGTAACTGCAAAAAAAAATCACAAATAAAAGTTTTGCCCATGATGGTCTGTAGTTTTGATGAGCCAACAACCTCCACCAGATGTTTTTGTAGACAATTATTCACATCCTATTTTAATCCAGAATAATCCACCCTTGAAATCTCGAAGTTTTTCCCTGGCTTCTCAGGGAAGCAGCTGTTCTCCAAGTTTACAGAGAAGAGCGAGCCAGAACGCTGCTGCCTTCTTTGGTGTGACTCATCACAAAGGACTAGCTTTGTCAAAGCGATCTCACACCTTACAGCCAGACCACTTGGTGGAAGTTCGAGAGGTTGGTATTACCTTCTTCCTAATATGCTTGCATGTTTTGTTCTGGAAACTCTCTTGGAATAGGGCAACTCCATCAGGACACAGCGCAGTTGAGCATTGGTTCACTTGTAGCGTGAGTGTACTGTGAGCTACACACTTACACCCATCTTCCAGGCTGACTAGTCAACTTCTGTTGCCTAATAAATGGATACTTTCTAGGTTGTCAGGTTGCCGTTGACTTCATTTACTCCATATGCATAAGAAGTGCTGCTGGTGTCATTTCTTGCACACTACCATCTTGCCAGATACCATGCACAGAAAATGCTGTTGGGTGTCACTTGGTAAAGGAAGTGATGTCAGCAGCGTACCCGGAAGTGGGACCAGCAGCCATTTTGTTTCACTGATCCTTTATAATGTGGTTATAATTTGTTGGAACTGGGAAACCACGTTATAATTTTGTTGCTTTTAAAGATTAGTTGTATTCAATCCAAATTGTTCAAAAGGTATTTAATGCAGAAAATATGTAAACCTTCAGAACAGGTTACTAGAAAGGTTGAGGCCCAGACACTGAGTATAGGCGAAGTGAGTCTCTGGGAAGGTGGAATCTGGGAAGATGGTAGTGAGTATTTGGGAAGATGTGATTGAAATGGAGTCAAAGGCTTCTTTCTTCCGAACTGATCTTGTGAAGTGAATAGAACTGCATGGCTCATTTTCAAGTCTTCTGTTTAAAATGACAATTTAAAAAAACATACAGAAAATAATGTGATAGAAACAGATATTTATGCACAGGAGGTCATTAAACTCACTGAGTCTGTGCCACTATGGTGACCAGAGAAAATTAGAATTATCAAGCCTGCAGTTGATGTGTAGGGGTTTTAGGCAATGATGCAAAAATCTTGAGTAATGAAGGAGAGACCAATTTAAACACTAGAGCAATATTTTCTGAATGTGAATTAAATTCCTCACGTGGTAAGACCTAGTATTTAAGTGATTAAAGATTGTGGTAAAGTTTTGGTTACAATTCTATTTAAAAAAAGTGATCTACATTTTGAAAATTCGCAAATAAATGTATTTTGTGCTTTAAACACCACATTTCACTGATTAGATGATGAACCAGGCTGAAGGCCAGCACAAGAACCTAGTGCGAATCATTGAAGCACTTCCTTCCTCTGGAGATCAGATATCTGCACTGGATCAAGACTTGCTCATGTTGAAAGCCACCACAATGGCAACAATGAACTGTCTGAATGATTGCTTCCACATTCTGCAGCTCCAGCAAGCAGCCCATTGGAGAGGTTCTTATTCTTCAGGTGAGAAATATGAAGAAGATAACAATGTTTTAACTGCTTAACGAGAGGGGAAGAAAGAAACTTTGTTAGGATTGGAATATCACTTTTGATTATTCACAACTACACTGCGGTAAGTGAACAGAACAGCAATCTCCAAATTGCTGTTAGTGTGGCTGCCGTGTTTCGCCCAAAAAACACACACTCCACTTGACAGTATATCTTGTGAAGTGCTTTGAGATGTCTCAACGACACGATCAAGCGCAATATCAAATGCAAGAATTATTATTATTTTTATTTTATTGAGTGATTATTCTGAGATAACATTGTTTCAGTGGAGCGAGAAGCTGGCACATGTAGAGTTCTGATTTTACACTTCAGGAGCAGCGTAAGCTGATGTTGAAAGCCACCACAATGGCAACAATTAACTGTCTGAATGATTGTTTCCACATTGGGAGAGGGGCACGCAGCTCCCTCTGCCATGGCTCCCCCACTCCGCTGCGCCCTCCTCCTCCCCCCCCCCCCCAGTTTCCCCCGCGCTGCCACCACCCGTTGACCCCCACCCGCGGCTGCCCCCTGCCTTGCTCCCCCCTCCGCCCTGGCCCACCCTTTGCCACAAATGCTCTTCTCTATTACAAACATGCTAAACAGCCCCCCCCCCCCCCCCCCCCCCCATACCGCTGCTTCCGGAGGATATCCCAAGGGACTGGACAGACAGAGTTTCGGACCTGAGCTGAAGGAAGGGGGGAGGAGAAGGGGGAGAGCGGGGGAAGCAGGGCGATTGAAAGCGCGATCGAAGAGGAGGGTATTGAGGTGGGTCTTGAATGTGGCGAGGGAGAGGGCGAGGCGGAGGGACTGTGGGATGGAGTTCCAGAGGGTGGGGGCAGAATGGAAGAAGGTTTACCCACCAATAAGTGTGGTGAGCAAGGCGGGGTATGTGAAGCAGGCCGGAGCCCACTGGGCGGAGGGAGCGAGCAGGATGGTAGGGGGTTAGGAGGTCACAGAGGTAAGGTGGAGCAAGACCATGGAGGGCTTTGAAGGTGAGGACCACGATCTTGAACTGTATGCTCTGTGTGATGGGAACTAGTGGAGTCGGGCGAGGGTGTAATGAAAGCCTGTATGAGAGTTTCAGTGGCCTGTGGTGTGAGACTGGCGGAGCCGGGCGATGTTGGGGAGGTGGGGGAAGGCAGAGCGGGTCACGGCTCAGATGTGGGGTAGAAAGTTGAGGGTCAAACAAGACCCCAAGGTTCCGGACTGCCATGTGTGCAACTATGGATGGTGATGCTGTTAGTGCCTGAAGTGTGGAGGTGCTGACAGGAGCCATTCAGGAGAGCCTCGGTCTTGTTGACGTTCAACTGAAGAAAGTTAGCTCTCATCCAGGACTTGATGACTGACAGACATTCTGTCAGGACAGCAGTGGTCCTGAAGTCGAGGGTGGAGGCAGAGAGGTACAGTTGAGTGTCATCCGCATACATGTGGAAGTTGACCCCATGTCTGCAGATGATGTCACCAAGAGGGAGCATATAGATATTGAAGAGGAGGGAACCAAAGACAGAGCCCTGAAGAATGCCGCACGATATGGTGCGGGAGCTATAGGAGAAGCCGTTTGTGCGGTGAGGTGGTGTGAGAGGTACGATCTGAACCAGTCAAGGACAAAGACATAAAGGTTGAGGTGAGAGGAGAGGCAGTGGATGAGGATAAAGTAGTCGACGGTGTCAAAGGCAGCAGAGAGGTCAAGGAGAATGAGGAGGCAGAGGGAGCCCTGTTTGCAGATGGACAAAATGTCATTTGTCACTTTGACCTGGGCTGTTTCTGTGCTGTGGGCAGCAGGGAAACCTGATTGAAGGTGTTCTTGAAGGGAGTGGCGGTAGAGGAAGGAGCGAAGCTGAGAAGCAACAACTCGTTGCAGGACCTTGGAGAGGATAGGGAGATTGGAGATGGGGTGGTAGTTTGGGAGTAGAGATGGGTCCAGGGAGAGTTTTTTTTTTAAAAGGATAGGAGGAATGACGGCATTTTTTAACGGATTGGGAACAGTACCAGTGGACAAGGAGAGTTTTATGATGTCCGTGAGTAGAGGATCAAGGAGGTGGAGCTGGGAGGTAAGGAGAGGGGTAGGGATGGGGTCAAGGGAGTAGGTGGTCTAGCTCAAGTGTCAGAGGCCTGTTAACAGATCATCTATCAAGTCCCTTAGGGAACAGGAAATCTGTAAGAGAGAAGATCCAATGAGGAATATATTAAAATTAGAAGGGGGGGGTGGGAAGAAAGGAACAAATTCCAAAGTAGTTTTTTAATCTTCTGATTGACTTTATAGACCACCCTTTATAAGATGATTTTAACCTTTTTGAAAATGATGAATTTTTAATAATTTATTAGGTAATAAATCTACTTGGTTCAGGATCGGAGCAACCTGAGATTGGTGAAACATTAACTGGACTGTTTGTGAGGCAAATTGTATAGCTCAACTTTTGTCATGTGGTTAAAGGAATATTTAATTATTGATAAGAAGTTTATGAACAAAAGTGGTTAATAGACAGTAAGGATATTCTGCAAAAATATTCCATCTCCTCCCCAAATTGTATTCAATTTGTACTTTGGATTATTTTATATTCGTGCTTACAATATCAGAAATGTTTATGGTTACTTGTTTTTGCAAAAAACTTCATACATCATTACTAGACTTTCTAGACTGGTATCTGATTACTACTATTGGATTTCAGCAGGTTTGACAAGCATACACTATGACTGGTCCAGTCAGAATCCTGATATTTTATTGACGACAATAGGCGTTGCCTGAGACTTCTACCATAGGCTTTTCCTTTGTATGTTTCATTTTGTGCCCGAGATACACTACTGATTTCAATGGCAGTAATCTTCTGCCAGGTTTGATTATGAAAAAGTTTGAAAATAAATTACCATTTGTTTCAGGGACAACTATTGAATGGTTGGAACCCAAATTACCACTTTCGGATCATCTTAAGAATGGAAATGGGCATCAGGAATTCTCAAATGAGCAAGATCAGTCAGGAGCTGTTCGAGAGGAACAGCCAAATTCAGAACCCTGCCAATTGATGCGGGTAAGATCATTTGGAACATGGTACTTCTTGGTACCAATTTGTTACTTTTGTTAATGACATATCGATATATTTTAACAATGATTTTTCATTAAGTAAATAACTTTGCATCTTTCCAATCTGAAGTCAGAACAGTGTGTCAATTTTTAGTTTTAAAAAAACAAACTCCACTTATTAAGTAATGTTAAGAAAAACACAGTTAAACTGACAGCTAATGGTAACATACTTTCTCTTTTAAAAGAGCTTACAGCTTTAAATTTTCTTTCAATTATGTTTTTGAAATTTTTTTATATACTTGAGGTGTGGCTCTTTTACACAATTTGAATAAATGCTAGTTGAATGTTTTCCCTTAGGGGAAATCACTTGCCTGTGAACTGCATGACCTAAACGTTAAAGTTCATTTCTGGGAGGTGAAGGATAATTGATCTTAACAAAGATGGATCAGGATCATCATTTGAATGTTGTTAAACTGAGATACCATTTGTCTTGCAATCAGGTGGATGTTAAAAGTTTCCCTGCTTTTATTTCACGGAAGATTAAGGAGTTTTTCCCAGCTTTCCTAGCTAAAATCCCGGTTTTGTCCAAACTCACCCGACATTGTTGGTACAATGTAGCTGTTATGTTTGCCTACATAATGTTTGCTTTGATTTTTAAATCAAATGACTAAGTGGTAGCACTCTTGCCCTTGAGTCAATGGTCCATGTCTCTGACAGTCTCGCTCCTTCCCTTGCCTCTTTAAGGCCCGTCTCAAGACCCTCCTCTTCCATCGTGCCTTTGGTCACCCTCCTATCCCTGCGCTTTACCCCTTCTGATCCCAACCCCAACTTAGTCCAAATCCCTGACTGTCCAGCCCCTTGGGGCGTCCCTCCCATCCCTCTCCTGATTTAAAAGCCGCAAAACAAATGTAATTTGTTATTGTTGAGTCAGAAATTATACAAGCCCATGTCAGACATGAACTCGCATAGACCCATGCTAGTGGTAGGAGGGTGACCGAAGGCGCGATTGAAGAGGAGGGTCTTGAGATGGGGCAGAGAGACTGAACGGCATGCTGTGCGCAGTTGTACTGTGGCGTTCACCTACAAATGCACAGCCACTCCACAGTAAATCTTGTGAAGAGCTTTGTGCATACTTCCTACATAAAATAATAATAATATTAATCCTTGCATTTGATATAGCGCTTTTCACGTCGGGAGGACGTCCCAAAGCGCTTCACAGAACACACCGTAAAGTGAATTGACTGTATATTTGTGGGCGAACGCGGCAGCCAATTGCGCACAGCAATGTCCCATAAACAGTCGTAGATTGAAAATGACCAATTTATTATTGTTTTTGGTTTTGGAGGGATTATTATTCGGCGTGTGGAGTAAGGAAACTTGCCCAAGGTTTCGCCCTCTGCCTGGAATTGAACTCAGGTCTCTCGTTTGCAAAGCGAGTGCTCTAACCACTGAGCTACAGGACTCCAGGCTACAGGCTCTTTATCAAGTGCAAGGATGATTATTAACACTAAACGATTCTCATTTTGTGGCACAATATTCTTTTACATGAAAAATACTACGTAAATTTAAGTTTTTATGATGTAGAACTTTTTAAGTACATCCAATTACAATCTTTCTTGTTAGCTTGATTTGAAAGTTGTTTAATTTTCAGTGTTTCACTGAACACTTTTTTGTTAAAACCAGCATCTATTTTAGAAATGGACTCGCCCCATTACTCTGCTCTCAATTTCTCCATGTACTTTCAAAAAACACTAGGGTCAAATTTGGGAGATGTCTCTTTTGTTAATTGAATTTTATCCTATTATAGTACCTAATTTATACAATAGCTGGAATTGTTGCTTTTGTGTCTTACAAATTTTGGCGAAGTCTCTACCTGTAATAGATCCAGCACCGAAGGATATTGAATGACATTCTCTACTGCTAAACCAAATACTAAACCCTGAGGTAACCAGATTAATGGGGGGAGAGCTGGTCTGGCAACATAGATTTTGTGGCTAATTGCTAATCCTAATCCCTAACATATAAAAATAAAATAAGTAAAAATAAATCCTGCCTAACATTTAAAATAAAAATGAATTTAAAAAATAGGCAAAAAAACAATAGTTCTGTACTCACCAATAATGCGATGCAGCTCTGTTGATACGCTCCGTTAAAGCAACAGTCAAGCTGTGGGCATCATGTTTCTGGTGGGAGTTTGAAAATGCGAGGTGGATTTTTGAATCGCAGAATTGTTTTTTGGACCTGGTCCAGCTAATTCCAAATTCTAGATACTATGGAGTTCACTGTAGTTTACTATTTTTTAAGTTTTTATTTCAAGTGTTTCTTTAACATGTTTTCTTTTCTGAGTAACCTACTTTAATAAAGGTTTTTAAAGATCTTGACTGCTTTGACTTTTGGACTATTTTAACTCTACAATTACGAAGCTCTACAAACATGTCTGACAACAAAAATCAAACTTAATGTGGTTAATAAAAATGGTGCACTTTCCTTTTTGACCGTGCCTTTGGTCATCTTTCCTCCTCCAATCCTCTTCCGGTGCAAACCTCATTATCCAGCACCTTGGGAAGTCTTTCTAAAGTGAAAGCCGCTGTATAACTGCATTTAGTTGTTATTGTTGCTACCTGGATAAACTGTAAAGTTGGGAATATCATTAAGGGTAGACTTTTAATCCAAAAGGCAGGTAACTAAGGCAAACTACTAGCAAGCCCTTGGTCTGATTGCTTATCTTTGAGTTCCCTGATCTTTGCTGGTAAAGAGCAGTTGGCCTTAAGGTACACAGGTCTAAATTTATAATCAGAATGAACTCACCAATTACATTGGAAGTTGAATGAGAGTAGCTTTTATCTAACTACAACAACAAAATTACATTTGTATAGCGCCTTTTATGTCGAGAGGACGTCCCAAGGAGCTGGACAGTCAATGTTTCGGATCCGAGCTGGGGATCGAGATCGGGGAGGGTGGAGGGCAGGGTGGGGGTAGGAGGGTGATTGAAGGCTCGGTCGAAGAGGAGGGTCTTGAAGGAGGCAAGGGAGGGTGTGAGATGGAGGGACTGCGGGATGGAGTACCAGAGGGTGGGGGAGATTGGCTGAAGGCTTGCACACCAATGGTGAGGTGCCGAGGCGGGCGACGTGAAGAAGGCTGAGTGGAGGGAGTGGGCAGGTTGGTAGGGGGTTAGGAGGTCGCAGAGGTAGGGGAGAGAAAGAGCATGGAGGGCTTTGAAGGTCACCTGCATCCTCTATGTAATAGGAAGCCAGTGGAGTCGGGCGAGGATGGGGGTGATAAGGTCGCGGAGCCTGGTGCGGTAGAGGACACGGGCTGCAGAGTTCTGGATGATGCGGAGCCTATGGAGGGAGGATTCAAGGAGGCCGATAATCAGGGAGTTTCCATAGTCAAGCCAGGATGTTATGAATGCATGTATGAGGGTTTTGGCAACCTGTGGTGTGAGACGGTGGCAGAGCCGGGTGAAGGAGGTGGGGGAAGGCAGAGCAGGTCATGGCACTGATGTGGGATAGAAAGGATAGTTGAGGGTCAAACAAGACGCCAATAATAATAATAATAATCCTTGCATTTGATATAGCGCTTTTCACATCGGGAGGACGTCCCAAAGCGCTTCACAGACCACACTGTAAAGTGAATTGACTGTATATTTGTGGGCGAACGCGGCAGCCAATTGCGCACAGCAATGTCCCACAAACAGTCGTAGATTGAAAATGACCAATTTATTATTGTTTCGTTTTTTTGGAGGGATTATTATTAGGCGTGTGGAGTAAGGAAACTTGCCCAAGGTTTTGCCCTGCCTGGAATTGAACTCAGGTCTCTCGCTTGCAAAGCGAGTGCTCTAACCACTGAGCTACAGGACTCCACTGAGCTACAGGACTCCAAGGTTCCGGAATCACTTAGTAAGGTGGAGTGTACATCCTTGGATGGTGACACTGTCAGTGCCTGAGGTTTGGAGTCCAGAATCTTTCTAAAGAATATAAATCATTTTTTAACATAAAACAATTGCTTCAATTGGTCTTTAAGGAATTTTGCCACCATTGGATTCTACTCACACAAGCTGATTTCGAGGCATGAACACCATTCAAGATCCTTAAGCCTCTTTCAAATTGATTCAATTAAAGTGAAACCTAGATGGCTAAAGATGTTTTGACCAAGTTATTTCTTTCTGTAGGAGCCTGAAGAAATAAACCCCGATGATGAGACAGAAGATACCTTTGAGAACAAAGAGGATGATCTTGGAGCTGTGGAAGAAGAACGTAGTGTTATATTACATTTGCTCTCTCAACTGAAGCTTGGTATGGATTTAACACGAGTAAGTACATAACTTCCGTTATGATGAACAAGCAGTTTGTAGGGTTTTTTGTATAAGGATGCCGTATAATATGGTAGACCTGTTCATGTGGTCTCTTGTGTTTTAAATGGTAATCCGTATGTTTTTTGGCAAGAGTTTTGTGAAATTTGACATGCACTGTCTCTCACCGCAGGCCACTGAGACCCTCATCCATGCGTTCATCACATCCAAGCTCAACTGCACGAACTTCGTGCTTGTCAGCCTCCCAAACTCCTCCCTCCACAGGCTGCAGATCATCTAGAACTATGCAGCCTGTATCCTCTCCTCCACCAAGCTCCGCGACCCTATGACTCCCATCCTGGACCAACTCCACTAGCGTCCCATCACTTAGAGGATACAATTCAAGATACTGGACCTCCCCTTCAAAGCACTCCACGGCCTTGCTTCTCCCTACCTCTGTGACCTCTTAACCCACTACCAATCTGTCAGTTCCCTCTGCTCAGTGCAGTGGGCTCCAGCCTGCTTCACGTCTCCCAACTTGCCTACTCCACCATTGGCAGACGGGCCTTCAGCCCCCACCCTCTGGAATTCCATTCCACAGTTCCTCTGCCTTGCCGCTTCTCTTGCCTCCTCTCAAGAACGTCCTCTTTAACCATGCCTTTGGTCAGCCTCCTACCCCTACCCTCCCTGCCCTCCATCCCTCCTGATCCCAACCACCAACTCGGGTGTGGTTCCCTGACTGTCTAGCGACTTCAGATGTCCTCCTGACGTGAAAGGCGCTATACAAATGTAATTTGTTATTGTTTCTTTCTTTGCAGGGAGCAGAACATTTTAGTAATAAATTCTTTGGCACCAGAATTTATTCTGAATCTCATTGCTGACATGTGCTCCATTTCCAGGCTGGCCTCTTAACATTGATCACAAAAAATCTATAATCTTTGGTGCCTTTCCATTGAACAATGTTTTGCCTTGTACGGAATTTGATGCAAAAGGCTCTTCCTCTATATTACTTGCTTTAATTGCAGAATTTGCTGACATTTAATTTTCCTTTTAAGAAAACATTTTTTTTCCTGAGGACATAGACTATTCATTTATGTTTTACCCTGGAAAAAATGGAACCAAGAAGGTTCTTACCAAGAAGAATCAACCTCAGATATACTCTTGGAACAGCAGCCTTACTGATTGCTGATGCTCACACACAGGCCACACTCAAGATTTTGAAGTCAAATCAAACAGACAGGAGTGCTGTGTCCCAAGTGCACTGAATGACATTTCCTCAGAGCAGTCTCTACATCTCTACACATCTTGCTGCGTTCCTTTAATTTAGTTTTGCAAGATTTGGAAAAGATTAGCGGGAAACATAAAAGGGAACATTAATGTCTTTAACAAACATATAACCAGTAAAAAGAAGGTCAAGCAAGGATGGGCCTGATTAGGAACCAAAAAGGAAAACTTCTTGTGGAGGCAGAGGGCATAGCTGAGGTACTGAATGAGGACATTGCATCTGCCTTTACAAAGAAGAGGGTACTGCCAATGTCACAGTAAAGGAGGAGGGGGTAGAGAAATTGGATAGGATAAAAATACAGTGCGGGTACTTAAAAGCTTAGAATCATAGAATATTACAGCACGGAAGGTGGCCATTGTGCCTGTGCCGTTTTTTTGGAAGAGTTACCCAATCAGTTCTGCTCTTCGCCCATATCCATGCAATTTTCTTCTTTTCAAGTATCTTATCTAATTCCCTTTGAAAGTTATTATTGAATCTGTTTCCATCACCCTTTTAGGCAGTGCATTTCAGCCCGTAGCAACTCCCTGTGCAAAAAAAAATTTCTCATCTCCCCTCTGGTTCTTTTGCAATTATCTTGAATCTATGCGCCCTGGTTACTGACCCACCCACCAGTGGAAACAGTTTCTCCCTATCTACTCTATCAAAACCCCATCATAATTTTGAACGCATCTAATAAATCTCACATTAACATTCTCTGCTATAAGGAAAACAATTTCAGCTTCTCCAGTCTCTCCACATAACCAAAGTCCCTCATCCTTAGTACCATTCTGGTAAATATCCTCTGCACCCTATCCAAGGCCTTGATATCCTTCCTAAAGTGTGATGCCCAGAATTGGACACAATATAGCATAACTTATAACAAAACTTCCTTGCTTTTGTACTCTATGCCTCTATTTATAAAGCCAAGGATCCCATATGTTTCTTTTAACAGCTCTATCAACCTGTTCTGCCACCTTCAAAGACCCATGTATGTGAACCCACAGGTCTCTGTTCTTGAAACCCCTTTAAATTTATCATATATTGCCTCCTCCGAAAATGCATCACTTCACACTTCTCTGCATTAAATTCGATCCGCCATGTGTCTACCCTTTTACCAGTCTATCTATGTTCTCCTGCAGTTCTGCTACCATTCTCCTCACTGTTTACCACAACCCACCTTTTGTATCTTCCACAAATTTTAAAATGTTGCTCTTTATGTCCAAGTCATTCACATATATCAAAAAGAGCAGCGGACCTAAAACCAACCATTGGGAGACAACACTGTATACTTCGCCCCAGTCTGAAAAACAACAATTCAATACTACCCTCTGCTGTCTGTCTCCCAGCCAATTTTGTATCCATGTCTAATTTTATTCCACGGGCTTCAATTTTGCTAACTAGTCCATTATGTGGCACCTTATTAAACGCCTTCTGAAAGTCCATTTACACTACATCAATTGCACTACCTTCATCAATCCTCTTCATTATATCATCAAGGACCTCAATTAGGTTCGTTAGACACAATTTGACTTTAAAAAATCTGTGTTGACTGTCATTAATTAACTTATGTTTTTCTAAGTGAAAATTAATTTTGTCCTGGACTATGGTCTCTTGAAGTTTCCCCACCATAGACGTTAGGCTGACTGGGTTGTAGTTACTAGGTTTATCCCTCTCCCCTTTTTTGAACAGGGGAGTAACATTAGCAACCCTTCAGTCCTCAGGATCGGTTTTAGGTCCACTGCTCTTTTTGATATTTATGAATGACTTGAACTTGGGTATAGAGAGGTTAGTAGAAAAGTCACCTAGTCCAGATGGGATGCATCCTTGATTGTTGAGGGAAGTTAGGGTGAAAATAGCGGAAGTTCTGGCCACAATCTTTCAATCTCCCTTGGAAATGGGAGGGGTGCCTGCGGACTGGAAGGCTGCAAATGTTACACCCCTGTTCAAAAAAAAAAAAGGGAGAGGGATAAAGCTGGTAACTATAGGCCAGTCAGCCTAACGTCGGTGGTGGGGAAACTTCTAGAGACCATAATCTGGGACAAAATACATTTTTACTTGGAAAAAAAATAGGTTAATAAATGATAGTCAACATGGATTTGTTAAAGGCAAATCATGTCTGACAAATTTAATTGAGCTCTTTGGTGAAATAACAGAGGGTTGATGAAAATAGTAGTGCAGTTGATGTAGTGTAGGAAAAGTAAGATAGAGGAAGAGTTTATAGAATGTATTAGGGATAATTATCTAGATCAGTATGCCGAGGAGCCAACCAGGGAACAGGCCATGTTAGACCTTGTTTTGTGTAATGAAGCAGGGCTGATCAGCAAACTGGAATTTAAGGCTCCTCTAGGGCAAAGTGATCATACTTTGATAGAATTTAGCATTGAGTTAGAGAGAGTAGTTAAGTCCGAAGCAAAGGTCTTAAATTTAAGTAGAGCCAACTTTGTTGGTATGAGAGAGGATTTAGCTCAAATAAACTAGGAAATTAGACTTAAAGATTTGACAGTAGACCACCAATGGCAGACGTTTAAGGAGATAGTGCAAAATTCCCAGCGAGCACGTATTCCTTTGAGGAATAAGAATGCCACGGGAAAGGTGGCCCAACCGTGGCTAACTAGAGCAGTTAGGGAAAGTATGAAGTTAAAGGCAGAAGCCTATAAAACAGCTAAGATGAGTAGTAAACCCGAGGATTGGGAGAACTTTAAGGATCAACAAAAGAGAACCAAAAAAGTGATTAAAAGGGAGAAAATGGAATATGAGGGCAAACTAGCGAAGAACATAAAGACAGACTGCAAGAGTTTTTACAAATATATTAAGAGGAAGAGGCTGTCCAAGGTAAATGTGGGTCTGTTACCGGCAGAGACGGGGGGAATTACAGTAGGGGACAAAGACATGGCAGAGTCATTAAACAAGTACTTTGCTCCTGTCTTCACCTTAGAAGACACTGAAAACCTACCAAGAATAGAGGGGAACCAAGAAGACAATGTTAGCGAGCAACTTGGGGAAATTAATGTTAGTAAAGAAATGGTTTTAGGTAAATTGTAAATTGAAGAGTGGCTAACGGGTAGAAAACAGAGTAGGGATAAATGGGTCATTCTCGAATTGGCAGGATGTGACTAATGGAGTGCCACGAGGATCAGTGCTTGGGCCTCAGCTATTTATAATTTACATCAATGATCTAGACGAGGACATTGAATGTGACGTATCTAAACTTGCGGATGACACTAAACTAGGTGGGAGAGTAAGCTCTGAGCATAATGCAAAAAGATTTCAACGGGATACGGATAGGTTTGGGGAGTGGGCGAGTAGGTGGCAGATAGCATTTAATGTGGGGAAGTGTGAAGTTATTCACCTAGATAGAAAAAATAGAAAAACAGATTATTTTCTAGAGGGGGAGAGATTAGATAGTGTTAGTGTTCAGAGGATTTGGGTGTCCTTGTACACCAGTCTCAAAAAGTTAGTTTGCAGGTTCAGCAGCAACTAAGAAGGCGAACGGCATGTTGGCTAGCGTTCATTGCAAAAGGTTTAGAGTACAAGAGTAGGGAAGTCTTGCTGCAACTGTATAGGGTCTTGGTGAGACCGCACCTAGAGTATTGTGTGCAGTTTTGGTCTCCTTATTTAAAAAAGGACATACTTGAAGGGGGTGCAGCGTAGATTCACTAGGTTAGTTCCTGGGATGAAGGGACTGACCCATGAGGATAGGCTGAATAAACTAGTGCTGTATTCTCTACAACAACAACAAGATTTCATTTATAGAGTGCCTTTCACGTTGGGAGGACGTCCCAAGGTGCTGGACAGTTGGATCAGGATCCGAGCAGGGGGGAAATGGTCAGGGTGAGGGAAGGGAAGGGAGGGAGCGAGGAGGGGGTAGAGAGTCGAGAGGGGAGCTGAAGGCACGATCAAAGAGAAAGGTCTTGAGACCGGCCTTGAAGGAGGAAAGGGAGGAAGCAAGGCAAAGGCACTGGGGGATGGAGTTCCAGAGCCTAGGGGGTGAGAGGCTGAAGGCCCGGCCACCGCTGGTAGGGCGGTTGGGGCGGGGGATGTGGAGCAGACCGGAGCCAGAGGAACGGAGGGTACGGGCAGGTAAGTTGGGGGATAGTAGGTCGGAGAGGTAGGAGGGAGCAAGGCCGTGAATGGCCTTGTAGGTGAGGATGAGGATCTTGAATTCGATCCTCTGGGGGATGGGGAGCCAGTGGAGGCGAGCGAGGGTGGGAGTGATGTGGTCGCGAAGCCTGGTGCGGGACAGTACACGAGCTGCAGAGTTCTGAATGACCTGCAGCTTGTGGAGGGAGGTGCCGGGAAGGCCGGCGAGGAGAGAGTTCCCATAGTCCAGCCTTGAGGTGATAAAGGCGTGGACCAGAGTTTCAGCCGCGTGAGGGGTGAGGTAGTGCCGTAGTCTGGCAATGTTTCGGAGGTGATGGAAGGCGGTGCCAGTTGTGGCGCGGATATGAGGAAGAAAGGACAGCTCAGGGTCGAACAGAACACTGAGGTTCCTGACTGGCTTTGAGAGGTGGAGAGTGCAGCCTTGGATGCTGATGCTGTCAGCGCCTGAGGTGCGGAGGCGCTGACGTGAGCCAATCAGGAGGGCCTCAGTTTTGCGCACGTTGAGCTGAAGAAAGTTGTCTCTCGTCCAGGACTCGATGTCGGACAGGCAGCTGTCAGGACATCGGTGGTTGTGGAGTTGAGGGTAGAGGAAAGGTAGAGTTGGGTGTCATCGGCATACATGTGGAAGTTAACCCCATGTCTGCCGATGATGTCACCAAGGGGGAGCATATAGAGGGTGAAGCGGAGGGGACCGAGGACAGAGCCCTGAGGGACACCACACGAGACAGTGTGGGGTTTGGAGGAAAAGCCGTTTGTGGAAACAAAATGAAGACTGGGAGAGGTACGACCTAAACCACTCCAGGACAGGGCCTTTAAGGTTGAGGTGGGAGGACAAGCGGAGGAGGAGGATAGTGTGGTCGACCGTATCGAATGCTGCTGATAGGACGAGGAGGCAGATGGAGCCCTGGTCGCAGATGGTCAAGATACCAGACGGTTTCTGTGCTATGGGCAGCCCGGAAACCCGACTGAAGGGGTTTGAATAATGAATGGGTGGAGAGGAAAGAGCGCAGCTGGGAGGCCCCAACTCTTTCAAGGACCTTGGACAGGAAGGGGAGGTTGGAGATGGGCCGGTAGCTTGATAGCTGCGACGCATCAAGGGAGAGTTTTTTCAAAGTGCGAGTGATGGTGGCAGTTTTTAAGGGAATGGGAACAGAGCCAGAGGAGAGGGACAGGTTGATGATGTCTGTGATAAGTGGGGCAAGGAGGTGGAGCTGAGAGATAAGGAGTGGGGATGGGGTCAAGGGAGCAGGTGGTGGGTTTCAGGGACAGGATGAGTTTGGTGACAGAGGGTGGGGAAACGGGTTCGAAGGTATGTAGGGGAGGATGTGTAGGTGTCGGAGTGTGGGAGGGAAGGGGTGGGGGGTGGGTGGAAGTTGGAGGGGGAGTGACCACGGAGCGGATTCCCTTGATTTTGGATTCAAGGACTAGAGTACAAAAGAATTAGGGGAGATCTTATTGAAACATATAAGATTCTTAAAGGGCTGGATAAAGTAGACACTGAGGGGCTGTTTCCCCTGGTAGGAGAATCTATAAGCAGGGGTCACAGTCTTTAGAACAAAGTTGAGGAAACATTTCTTCACTGCCCCAGAAGGCTGTAGATGCTGAGTCCTTGAACATTTTCAAGGCTGAGACTGATAGATTTTTTAAAAATAGAGTGATATGGGGATAGGGCAGACAATTAGAGTTTGGTCAGAAGTTCAGCCATGATCTTATCGAATGGCAGGGCAGGCTCGAGGGGCTGAATGGCCTACTCCTGCTCCTAATTCTTATGTTCTTATGTATATGGACTTCCAAAAGGTGTTTGATAAAGTGCCACATAATAGACTAGGTAGCAAAATTGAAGCCCATGGGATTAAAGGAACAGTGGCAGCATGGATCCCAAATTGGCTGACACAGAGAGTAGAGAATAATGGTGAACGGTTGTTTTTTAGACTGGAGGGGAAGTATACAGTGATGTCCCCCAAGGGTTGGTATTAGGTCATTGATCTTTTTGATATATTAATGATATTGTGTATGGGGGCAAAATTTTAAAGTTTCCAGATTATAGAAAACTTGGAAAAGTAATATACAATAAGGAGGATGGTAGCAGACTGCAGAAGGACATAGTGGTGAAATGGGCAGATACGTGGCAGATGAAATTTAATGTGGAGAAGTGTGATGTGATGCATTTTAGGAGGAGGAATGAGGAGAGGCAATATAAGCTAAATAGTGAGTGCAGGAACAGAGATCTGGGGATTCACAAACGCAAACTTTGAAGGTAGCAGGGCAAATTGTTGAAGCTGTTAAAAAAGGATATGGGTTTATAAATCGAGGCATAGAGTACAAAAGCAAGAAAGGTATGCTAAACATTTACAAATCACTGGTTAGGCCTGAGATAGAGTTTTGTGTCCAATTCTGAGCACCACCCTTTAGGAAGGATGTCGGGGTGCAAAGAAGATTTACAAGAATTATACCAGGGATGAGGGACTTCAGTTATGTGGAGAGTCTAGATAGGCTGGGATTGTTCTCCTTAGAGCAGAGAAGGTTGAGGGGAGATTTAATATAGGTGTTCAAAATGAGGGATTTTGATAGAGTAGATAAGGAGAAACTGTTTCCTCTAGTGGGTGGCCAGTAACCAAAGGACACAGATTTAAGATAATTGGCAAAAGAACCAGAGGGGAGACTAGTAGGTTTGTTCTACCTAGCAAGTTGTTACGATCTGGAATGCACCGCCTCAAAGGGTTATGGAAACGGATTTGATAGTAGCTTTCAAAAGGAAATTGGATATGTACTTGAAAAGGAAAAAAAATTGCAGGGCTATGGGATAAAAGCTGGGGAGTGGGATTATTTGGATAGGGCATTTCTCTAAACCTGAAGGTGTGGGTTAAAATAAAGCCCTATCTATTTTGTGTCTCCTGTGGCATTGCATTTCTGGGTGGACTGAAATGTAAAGGAACTTTTTTGAAAGGTACTCAGACAGAATGGCCACAATTATTTCTTAATTCTTTGCATTATTTAATATAATGTACAATAGAACAATTTGAAATTTTCTTATGAAGTTATTTAACCTCCATTCTAATCCAAGTAATTCAAAGACTATTGTAAATACCTATATTTTAAATCTTTAAATCTGGAAATCTTAAAAAGTAAAGGCAAAGATGAGGCTGTGTGTAATACTATATTTTTAATAGGAATTGATTGCCTTTTTGTGCTCATTCAATTTGAGATTTTAATCTAATCCTTGGCTAAACCGAGTTTAGCAAATCGAGAAACCACAGTGTCATAGTGTACATGTTGTTAATCGGCAAATGCAATAAAAACCTATAAGATCATCAAAGGGCATGATAGAGTAGATAGTGGGAGATTGTTTCCCCTGGTTGGAGAAACTAAAACCAGGGGTCACAACCTTAAAATCAGAGGCCAACCCTTTCACACTGAGTTGAGGAAGAACTTCTTCACTCTGGTGAATGTATGGAACTCACTACCCCAAAAGGCTGTTGATGCTCAGTCCTTGAACATATTCAAGACTGAGATAGATAGATTTCTTATTGCAAAAGGGATTAAGGGATATGAGAATAAGGCAGGGTCAGGTTATTAGCTGGAGTTAGATTAGAAGATCAGCCATGATTGAATAGCGGGGCAGGCTCGAAGGGCCAAATAGCCGACTCCTGCTCCTACATGTTATGTTATGTCCACCCATTTCACAAAGTGATTATTCAAATTAGGTCATTTGTCTCTCTGGAGATGAGTAATAGATTTGCCTTTGTTTGCATTACAAAAATAAATTTATATGCTCATTAAACATATATAACTTGAATAATGCATTGTGCTGAATTGCTCACATTCCTAAATGTTATAAGTGGAGAGATCTGTCCATTTACCCAGTATGTCTGATACTCTGCTGTATACTGAAATGAATGAGAGTTAATCCCATTTCCTGTTCATTACTTCACATTTCCACACAAAATATCTGCTTCCAAAAATCTTTCAATCATATAATGTGCCAAAAAAGCTACAATTATAATCATGCCTTCAATAATGTTCAAAATAAAAATCCTTTTATTTAGAAATGGAGCGTAGATCTTGGTGAGCTCCTGAAACCAATATTTCACATTCACTCGGGCTTTGAAGACAGAGCTGTGAGTCGTAGCCCATATGCACCTTATCTCCTTTTCCTTATACAATAAATGGTGTGTCAAGACTATTAAGTTCAAGATCAAGGAAGTCACTTCAACTGACCTGAAGACAAGATGGAGGAATTGATTGGATTCTTATTTTTTTATATGACATGAAATGTAAAATTTGTATTTAGCATTATGTGCAACTCTTTATTATAATATGAAAGTGGCTTTTCAAATTAGTTATGTGCAGTCTTTACCATAAAGTCACTCAAGAGAATCTGAAACTTCGGTACTATTTCCTTATGAATAATTTAATTTTGGAAATACATTATGGGTATCTCTGAATTGCTTTTTGTATGCACTGTAGGTGGTTCTTCCAACCTTCATACTGGAAAAAAGATCATTGTTGGAGATGTATGCAGATTTTATGTCCCATCCAGACCTTTTCATTGCTATCACTGATGGTGCTACTGCTGAAGAGAGGATGATCAGATTTGTTGAGTATTACCTCACCTCATTCCATGAGGGCCGCAAAGGAGCCATTGCTAAGAAACCATACAATCCTATCATTGGTGAAACATTTCACTGCTCATGGAATGTACCAAAAGACCCAGAAAAAAACAGTAATTCCTGCAATACCTCAGCAGAACGCTGTCTGCAGAACACCGAGTGTTCTGATGAGACAGAGATAAAAATTCATTCAGACTACTACCATTTGAGATTTCTCGCAGAACAAGTATCCCATCATCCACCTGTGTCAGGGTTTTACGTAGAATGTGAAGAGAAGAACATGTGTGTAAACACTCATGTATGGACAAAGAGCAAGTTCATGGGCATGTCTATAGGAGTGGTAATGGTTGGTGAAGGTAAGGATGCAAGTGCTTCTATTTCAAATAGCGTTTATAAGAAATGCATTTGTTTTAAGTACAGTATTAAAAATGTATTATATTGAACTTATGCATGCAAATAGTTTTGAAATCAAGCCAAATTAAGAAATCAATTAGGCCTGATTATGGAATAGGCACATGCCTATTAGGTAGAAGCCTAAGATAAATTCTCATAGAGCTAAACATGTATTGAAGTTCTGAGAAAGGTATCAGCGAATACCAAAAAAAAGTTGCAGGCAGCAAATATCCAATATAATATGTAAACTGCTGACATATTATAATGATAAGGAATATCCTTGAATCCAAAAGTAGTGCCATAAACATGGAGGATTGTTAACTCAACGTCAAAAAGGGGCAACATGACTATAACTATAGAACAGTTAACCTAACCACCACAGTGAGCAAACACTTTGAGGCCATGTTATGGAATAATAATAAACATTTCTAAAAACATGAGTTAATTAAAGCCAGATCTTGCTTGACAAATCTGATAGAATTATTTGAAATTAACAAGCAAATAGTTAAAGCACATTTCACAGCATTAAGTGATTATGAATTTTCAGACGGTGAATTTTCAGGTAAGGTGTCGCATTAGAATTGTTAATGGAGAAGTAGCTATATGGTGGAATAGATGCGTGAAATATAGGAAATGGGCAGGATTGGGAGCACATAATTATTTGGAATAAAGAAATGTAAATAATTCTTTTCACCTCCCCTCTGCGTCTTTTAGATACTATTTTAAATCTGTGACCTCGAGTCACCGACAAACCCACCAAAGTGCATTACCTCGCCTTTCTCCACATTGAAATTCATCTGCCATGGTGTCTGCCCATTTTACCATTCTGTCTACGTCTTCCTGCTACTATCTGTCTCATTGTTTACCACCCTACCTAACTTGCTCTACCCAAATCCGGATTATTTATGTGTATTAAGAAGAGCAGTGGTCCTAATACCGATCCCTGGGGGACACCACTGTACACTTCCCTCCAGTCAGAAAAGCAGCCGTTCACCACAACTCTCTGCTCTCTGTCTCCCAGCCAGTTCTGGATCCATGCTGCCACTGTCCCTTTTATACCATGGGCTTCTATCTTTCTTACAAGTCTTTCATGTGGCACTTTGTCAAATGCCTTTTGAAAGTCAACTGCACTACATCAACTGCACACCCTCTCCGTTACCTCATCGAAAAATTCTAATAGATTCGTTAGACAAGATGTGCCTTTAACAAATCTGTGCTGACTGTCCCTAATTAACCCATATTTTTCTAAGTGAAGATTTATTCTGTCCCGGATTATAGTCTCCAGAAGTTTCCCCACTACTGATGTTAGGCTGACTGGCTTGTGGTTCCCAGGTTTGTCCTTCTGTCCCTTTTTGTACAGGGGAGTAACATTGGCCACTCTCCAGTCCTCTGGCACCACTCCTGTGTCCAACGAAGATTGAAAAATTGTAGCCAAAGCCTCCGCTATTTGTACCCGTGCCTCCCATAGTAACCTTGGCTGCATCCCGTCCGGACCGGGAAACTTATCTACCTTCAGCCCAGTCAACCTTTTCAGTACCTCCTCTCTGTTTATACTTATCCTATCCATTTCCTCTACCCTCTCCTCCGATACTGCGGCATTTGGTGCTTCCACTTCTTTTGTGAAGACAGATGCAAACTACTCATTTGGTACATCAGCCATGCCCTCTGCCTCCACACTAAGATTTCCGCCTTGGTCCTTAATTGGTCCCACCCTACCTTAGACTAACTTTTTTTCTTGATGTATTTGTAAAATATTTTAAAATTCCCTTTAATGTTACCCACTATCTTCCCAGTCCCTCTGCTCCGAACGCCTCCTCATCCTAGGCAAATTAAACCTTCACTTCACCCCCTCCTGCTCTACCTCTGCTGACTTCTCCTCCCTTATCTCCTCCCTCAACCTCTCCTTCCACATCCACTTTGCCACCCACGTTTGTGGTCACCCCCTTGTAATAACTCAGGGCCTCAGACCCCACTCATCATCGACAAAGTGATCTCGGACCATCACTTCATCTAACTTAACTCCTCAATCCCTCTCCCCACCGCCACCCAACCCCATCTCCTACCACCCCTGGAAAGAAATCCCAACACCCTCCCTCTCAGCTGCCTTGGGAGTCACATGAACTCCTTCCCCCTCTGGGCTTCCTCCCGCAATGACCTGGCCTCCTCGGTCACTCTTCTCCACAGCTCCCTCTCCTTCACTCTCGATTTCCTTGCTTCCCTCTCTTCCTGAACCGTCTCCTATTCACATCAGTCACAATGGTACACCAGCCACCTCCGCTCCCTTAAAGCACAGGTGACCAGTCAACCAGTCATCCACCGCCTCGCCTCTCACCTCAACCTTCAAGGCTCTGTCCTTGACTGGTTCAGATCGTACCTCTCACACCACCTCTACTTCATCTCCACAAACGGTTTCTCCTCTAGCTCCTGCACCGTATAGTGCAGCGTTTCTCAGGGCTCTGTCTTTGGTACCCTCCTCTTCAACATCTATATGCTCCCTCTTGGTGACATCATCCACAGGCATAAGGTCAACTTCCACATGTATGCGATGTACCTCTCTGTCTCCACCCTTGACTCCAGGACCACTGCTGTCCTGACTGAAATGAAGATTTATTCTGTCCCGGATTATAGTCTCCAGGAGTTTCCCCACTACTGATGTTAGGCTGACTGGCTTGTGAAAGTTTGTCTTTCTGTCCCGTGCCTCCCATAGTAACCTTGGTTGCATCCCGTCCGGACCGGGCGACTTATGTATCTTCAGCCCAGTCAACCTTTTCAGTACTTCCTCTCTGTTTATACTTACCCTATCCATTTCCTCTACCCTCTCCTCCGATACTGCAGCATTTGGTGCTTCCACTTCTTTTGTGAAGACAGATGCAAACTACTCATTCGGTACATCAGCCATGCCCTCTGCCGCCACAATAAGATTTCTGCCTTGGTCCTTAATTGGTCCCACCCTACCTTTGACTAACCTTTTGTTCTTGATATGTTTGTAAAATATTTTAGAATTCCCTTTAATGTTACCCACTAACCTTTTTTCGTATAATCTTTTTGCCCCTCTTATTTCCTTTTTCAAACGTCTTCTGCACTTCCTATATTCTATTTGGTTGTCTTCTGTGTCTTGGGTTTGACATTTGTCATACGGGAACAATATTGATATTTATTGTTTCTGCATTTCCATTCAGATGATGTACATGATACAGATTATAAACGAATATCCTTTTTAACATTTTAGGTCTTCTATGTCTGTTGGAACATGGAGAGGAGTATACGTTTACCCTCCCTTGTGCATATGCTCGTTCCATTTTAACTGTTCCTTGGGTAGAACTGGGAGGAAAAGTGAATGTCAACTGTGCAAAGACTGGTTACTCTGCAGCCATAACCTTCCACACGAAGCCATTCTATGGTGGCAAGCTTCACAGGTACAGTTATCCCTAACAACATTAACATTATGGGTAGCATTTAAACTTCATAGAATTATACTTCAAGCTTTTATATTCTACCAAAAAGCAAAGTGCACAGAAAATGAAAGCACAATGAACTCTGAAATTTTGATCTATAGATTAAAATCATAAATATGAAATGTTTCTCTTTTTCAGTTTGCAAAACGCTACTTTGGAATTTTTGAATCTTTCTGGGGATGGGAGTAAGCGGGATCTCCTTGGAGCTGAATTGGCTCCAAGGTAACATGCCTGGCTGTTGCTGTTGGAACCGAGCCAGCTCTTTGTGGTGGTCACGATAGTCTGGTTTGTGAGTAAGGCAGGTCCGCAGTATTCCAGGACACTGCTGATGACAACACAGCCAGCGTGGCTCATCTGGCAGGACCTGGAAGAGCAAACTAGTCACGGGGGCAGGGGGTCATCCCACTCAGCTCCTGTTAACCCTGCGAGCCGAAGCGCTAATGGGAAGGGCAGTCCTAGCTGGACAAACAGCAGGAAAGCTTGCTAGACAGCAATATCAATGGCAAGCTTTGCGGTTTTAGCTGGTTACCCCAACACATGCTAGGGGGTCCCCAACCCTTGGCTATTGCCAGCCTTCACTTTATACTGTCTGGAATTAGGTAAGCAGGATGCATTCTGAGACTCTAACCTTGGAGGGTGCTTATATAAGTGCAAGTTGTTGTTGCATCCCATTCCAATATTATTTCTGGGATTTCCATGTGTAGGTGGGATGCATGTTTATCTCAGCTTGGTTTGGGTTAAGCCTGATGATGGTTTCTGCATGTGTCAGAAACCCGGCCCTCAAAAAAAATTACATTTTTAAATACCATTTAAAGGTAATAGAGTTTTTAAATTGAGCCATTGATAATAATCCTTGCATTTGATATAGTGCTTTTTACATCTTCCAGACATCTCAAAGCGCTTCACAGAATATACTGTAAAGTGAATTGACTGTATATTTGTGGGCGAAACGTGGCAGCCAATTGCACACAGCAGTGTCCCACATACAGTTGTGGATTAAGTGACCAAATTGTTATTGTTTTTTTTTCTTGAGGGATTATTATCAGGCGTGTAGAATAAGGAAACTTGCCCAAGGTTTTACCCTGCCAGGAATCGAACCCAGATCTAGCTTGCAAAGCTAGTGCTGTAACCACTGAGCTATAGGACTCCACAGTCCTGGTTACATCCAACTCATTTGAGATTGGTTCCTCTAATCACTGGATATAAAGCATCTATGGAATGAATTCAGAGTATCTTATCAAATGATGTCTGGCCTACTCTTTCCACTACCCTGCTTAATGTGTAAAGTGTCAGCATTACAGCTTTTCATTGAGTTTCTAACTGCAACTTTTAAGTGCTGAAGGAATTGAATAATCCAGTTATTTTAGTACAGCATTAGTGCTATGACAAGAAGAGAACTAAAACTGATTTTGAAGCTTGTTAGCTTGTGAAGTATTGAAATAATGTACAGAAATCTATAATATTTTACCACAGAGTGACTGCTGAAGTAAAGCACAATTCAACACAAACCATTGTGTGCAGAATACAGGGTGAATGGAATGGTACACTAGAATTCACTTACAGCAATGGAGAAACCAGAATCGTAGATGTAACTAAACTCTCAGTTATCAAGAAGCGAGTACGACCTACTGAGAAACAGAGTTCTTTTGAATCCAGGTAAAGAATTTAATGATGTACTAATATGCACTGTATTTAGACACTCAGGAAGCCTTTTAGATTTTTTTAATTATGCATTGCTGGAAACGGTCAGCATGTCTACCATTTGAACCATTGAGCATTGGATATTACCATCCCTCAAATGTAACCAAGTACTTTATAACTGGCAAACTATAATATTCTCACACTCTCAAGTCTCCTCATGCCATGACCTGATAGTGGGGCAGGCAACCTTCTGCCAGTCATCAGCCAATATGGCTTTGTACCAACTTCTGGAAGTGCTATAGTGGACTGGGGTAAATTACCAATCATTTTATTTTACGCCTAACTTCAGCATATCTAATATTAGGCTAACCCATTGTGTTAGCTTAATAAATAATAACTTTTGTCAGAGGTGAGAGCATAAAAAATGCTCAATGTATGCTCTGTGTGATCTCTAGACATATACGATATAAGAATGAAAGAAGACCAAGGTCCATCTAGTTTGCCTTCTACCATCCTGACAGTGGCTAGACATGTAATGTTCCAAACTATATACTGTATTTTGAGATATTATTTTCTAGCAGAAATCTATCTAATTTGTTTTTGAAACAAATGACAATTTCTGCTTCCACTGTCTCCCTAGGGAGCCTGTTCCATAAGTTTACTACTCACTCACAGTTCAGATGGTAAAAATATTTTGCCAGTCCTGAAGCAGATTCAGACTACAATAAATTATATAAAAACCTGCAGAATCTAGAACAGCAGCAAAATTATGATCATCTTCTAAAGAAAATATCTGACTCCCTTTAGTAAAGTTTACATATACAGTATTTTATTCAGGCTATCCATCTAAGGCCATTATTATCAATTCCTGAATTGAACTAATCATATGGGTAGCTGATATCTTGATTGGTAGAAGCTTCATTAAAAGAATTGACTGACCATATAGCTTTTACACATTGGTCAGTTATGACCATTACTTGTTCATATGGAGACCAGCAACTAAACTATTTTCATATTGTTTCTATTCATCTCTAATTTTACAAACCTTGAATGCTTTACAATGCTATAGATGCTTCAAGATTGTTTAAGTAAACTGATTGTTTTGCAATTTGTATATTTGATAGAAGGCTGTGGCAACATGTGACAGAATCTTTGCGTGTGAGCAACATAGACAAGGCAACGGAACACAAACGTTTACTAGAGGAACGTCAGAGAACAGAAGCTCGGCATCGTGCAGAGACTGAGACCCCGTGGGAGACTAAGTATTTCCTTCGAGAGGTAGGGTATTAACATGAATGCTCAATTTAAGTGAAAGAGCACATTAAATGTGACATTACAATGAAAACATGTAATTGATTGAAATCCAAAATTATTTCAGGAGTGTTCTGCTGTTCCTATCTTTTAGTGAATATTATTTCCCTGTACTCCCGTTTGTCTGGAAATTTCAGTGTTTTATGCACGGTGCAGCACAAGCGGGAAATGGGCTTTATTTGGAGACCCCACTGTTGTGATTGTCTGTGTGTCTCTCTCTATGTCTTTGTGAGTGTCTGTGTGAATGTGTCTGTGTGTCTCCTCTGTATGTATGTGTGTGTCTTCTATGTATGCCTTTGTGTGAGTGTGTTTATGTCTCTTTGTGTCTATGAGTGTGCGCATGTGTCTCGCTCTCTGGAACTGTGTGTGTGTGTGTGTGTGTGTATGTGTGTGTGTGTGTGTGTGTGTGTGTGTGCGCGGGCGCCCCACGGTCCCCCCTCAAAAAAAAATGGCCACCCAGTTTGTGTTATAGAAGCAATTAATAATTTGTTTTCAACAATCTAATATGCGTTATTTCCTCATGTGAAAAACTGTAGCAGCTGATAATAAAATATACCTCAATAGCACCAATAGATACAAATATTACATCTCCCCCCACAAAATTTCCCCCGCAATTTGGGGCAAATATTTCCGCACTTTTCTATTGGCCCAGGGCATCAGCAAACTTTGAGGGTGTGCCCCAGATTCCAGATCACTTACAATAAACTGAGGAAACCAATGATCCTAACATCGACCCCTGGGAGATACTAATATTTACATCTCTCCGTTCTCCATGAACTCCCACTTTCTGTTTCCTATCCTTGAACCAACTTTTGGTCAATGCTACCACTTTTCCAAGTATCTTATTTTTTTAACAAGCCTCTTATGTCGCACCTTATGGAAAGCCTTTTGAAAATGCATATATGCTACATTGATTATTTCTGGGGCACCTGATTTCAATGTTAATTGTATATCGAGGATTTTATGATTCAAAAGCTCCTGTAAATTCAACAATGACCTAACTTTGTTTAAAATTTGTTTTGTAGGGTGATGGATGGATATATCATAAACCACTATGGAGATCTACAGGAGCCAGCACTTCAACATCTGCACCAGCACCTTAAATACTGTTCAATTGAACTAGTGCAACATGGTTTTAAGTAATAAATGCTCACAACAGAAACGGTGACCAATGTTATTTAGTTATAATGGTTTCATATTAAAACTACATTGTAAAATGCAGTAAATCTCTAAGCTGATTTTATTCAACATTAGTGTGTGTATGAAATATTGTATGAGTGCTACAAGTACACATTGGCATGGTAACAATAAGAAGGCACTTTAATGTTACAGCAAAATGAGTGAGAAATTTTTATCTTCAGCTAAGTTTTTATATCTTATCCAAAACCTTTCAACTTAAATTGCTTTTTGGCAACAATCTTGTATTATTTTGACACCAGTACTTGAAAGAGGCAAAATTTCAGTGATTGATGCCTCAGAACAATGATTTATTTGTAATCAGCACAGAAGTACGGTGCTTTTTTTGGCTTGTTCCTGCAGTTGATGAGAATCGCTGAGATGCTGGACTATTGATTCAGCTGGCAGATTTATGGTAACAGAATGCCAAGAGGATCCTTTGATCCAGTCATTGAAGCTATTTAGTTGCACAATTCAGTGAGAATAGCTTATTTCGGTTTAAAACCTTGAAAGCATTCAGTAGGTCACGATTACATAAGCTGCTTAACAAATAGTCTATCCAAGAGAAAAGTGTTGTATGAAATTCCTTTTAACTACATACTTTAAAAATTGCAGGCAATTAAGAGTACCCCATAAGAGGGTAAGCAAACTAAAAATTGTACTTTTATAATTTACCCGTATCCTTGTGAGGTTATCATTCAAGCTACCTTAATTTTCCAAAGTGTGGTGCCTTATGCTATTTCTTGTAGCAGTCTTCCAATCAATGTATATGACGTTACCTGTTAGACTTAAACATGACTAAGTTAACTTTTCATCAGGAATTGAAAATGTAGTGAATTTTTGTGTGTTTCTTTTCAAGTTTCTCGCAGAAACAAATTGGCGTGAAAAAGGCTTACGATTTTACAAGAATAACGGTGACTTATGGTTGTTTGGGTTGTGTAAAAGACATTCAAGTGTAGTTGACGTGGATAAACTGAACTAAGGTCTTTTGCAAATATACCTCGAGCTGCCAGCACCAGTGAGAGATGTTTTATTCTACGGGTGTGCGACTCTTGAGAAGCTGGAGTCTTTCAATAAAAGCTGCTGACTAAGTGTTATTTCAAATATTAGATATCTACCTTTGAGTTATCACCTATATACACCCATAGAATAAATGTGGCTGCCCACACAGTGACAGGTGAAAGATGACTATCTGCATCTCTACTTTGATAGTATGACATAACGTGCATCTTCAGTTTGTAGGTTATCCATATGTCAGATATGTTGTATCACCCAATTTGTATGGGATTCTTTTTGTACAGGTTTTTTAACATTTTAATTCAACAGGACAAAAGGACAATTCTGAATTTATTTTGGGAGGAGTGGGAGAAAGACAGAGAGGTATATGTATATTGTACTGACTGTAGAATTTTCAGTTCGACATTTCTTGAAATGATGTGATATAAGAAGATCTCTTGCCAGAAAAAAAAGTTGTTTAATAATTGGAAAAGTGTGCAAACCAATACACATCACACTTTGGTGATGATACAGTCCTGTATATTTTGCAATCATGTGCAATGCACTGAGGAAACTTGATATGACACTCCTGTAGTAGTAGTACTAGTGGTAGTGGTGTGGAAAGATTGAATAAATGTACTGCACAAACAGCCAATTTTATGGTCCTTTTTTTTAAAAAAATCTTCTTAGATGCACTTGGTACTTTATTTATGAAAAATGCAATTCAAATATGTGCCATAAAACCAATATAATGAATATGAACACATTAGGTAAAATATTCTATGCATTATTTTGATAGGACACTCAGAGTCCCAACATGGGGCTTGAACTCACAACCTTCTGGCTTAAAGATAATCACTGAGTCAAGTTGCTGATTGTTTTGAAACTAAAGTTGAAGGCGTGCTGCAGGATACCTGAGAAAGCATTGGGAAAACCAAGAGTTTGTTTAGACCAGGTTGGTATTACATAAGGCCTGTCATCACAATACAAAGTGAGGATCTTGGAAAATTAAGACACAAGATTTGTATGCATAGTATTGTCCAATCAGGCCACAATATCTTTTAAAATCCAGATCTTGTCATCCACAGTATAAATACCAGTGAATTGCCTTCACATTAACTGTTGCTCAAACCTGAACGTCCCTTTGGTTATAAAATTTAAAGTGACACTTCAGCTCTATATGGATTTTAAAACTTGTCCTTTTTTGAAATTAAAAACTCATCTGGTAAATTTTGAATCGTTTTGTACTTTTCACCATTTTGCATGTATTGATTTACTCACATTTTTGTTACAACAAATGTGATGTGTGGTATATAAGGTATGATTATATAGGCTTCTCTGTGTGTAGATACTGGATTTGGGCCAGTATCAGGAAGTGGATTAAAACTTCAAACTTTATTTTTGTAATCTGATTTTTAATTGGTCTTAGTAAAGTATGTAAAATAATCCAGTTGAGTACTAAACACCTATTTTAACTATAATGCAGCAGATGTGCCAGGGTGGTTGTACAGTACTTTAAATGATATATACAAGAAAGTGAATAGCAACAAGTTTAAAATACTCATAGATGATACAGAGTTATCCAAATGATTGAAAACATTTTCTTGATACTTTCTCATCATGCCACAGAATCTGTAAAATTCTTTGTTGCATTACTCATTTAAACATTGTATTTGAATATTACACACACAATGTAAAGCGCATGGTATTTCACTACATTAGAGGTGTCTGCTTGAAGGTTGCAATAAATGTGATGTTCACAAATTCCAGTTACAATTTGATAGTTAAGATTTTTTTCTTCTAAAACAACATCCTACATATAATAGAACAGTTATCTAAATACTTCTTGATTGTGCTTTACACTTAAATCACATTGTACTTTGCAGTGAATCATGTAATAGTGATTTTTTATAGTATGATGTTTTAATCCCTCAAGAAAAACTAGTTTCAACATTGCTTTTAACTGACAATTTTGTTGAAACTGTCGTATGTGTTATAAAAATAAAAACGTGGTGTATTGAATGAAATGCTCATATTTCAGTCTAGAGTTCAATTGTTGTACATAAGCCACTTGACCTTTCATGCTTTGTGCCAATAAAATTACATCCGAATTACTGAATCCACTTACAATACAGGACATGCTATATAGTGGAACCCTGGATTAGTTGCCAAAATATGAATATGAGATACTAATACTTGTTATATAAGGTAATCTCACTTTAGTTGCTTTAATTACTAGCTGGGGCTTTGTAACATTAATTCAAAAAAATCCACACTTTATAACATAAGTTGGAACAAAACTACAAAAATTGAGTCCATTTAGTAACTTAATTATCAAACCTATAGTGAAGAACATGAAGGGAGATGCACAGAGATCAACAGAGGTGTATTCACTCCATTCGAATGGCAAGGTAAAGGGAGGGAGTTTAAATCTCTCTGTGATAAAGAGGATACATTTGCTGCGACAACAACAACAAGATTCCATTTATAGAGCGCCTTTCACGTCGGGAGGACATCCCAAGGCGCTGGACAGTTGGATCAGGACCCGAGCAGGGGGGAAACGGTCACGGGGAGGGAAGGGAGGGAGCGAGGAGGGGGTAGAGAGTCGAGAGGGGAGCAGAAGGCACGGTCAAAGAGAAGGGTCTTGAGACCGGCCTTGAAGGAGGAAAGGGAGGAGGCGGCGAAGGCACTGGGGGATGGAGTTCCAGACCCTCGGGGCTGAGAGGCTGAAGGCCCGGCCACCGACGGTAGGGCGGTTGGGGCGGGGGATGTGGAGCAGACCGGAGCCAGAGGAATGGAGCCAGTGGAAGGCAACCTTGTCATTTGCCTTCTCCCCCACAAGAATGATGATAATTAGGGGTAATTATTTTTTACCTCTATAACTAGCTCACAGTCAAAACTCACAAATTTATTTGGAATTGTACAGCTGCAGTTCCTCTCTTTGAGGCAAGCCAGATTAATGGAACAGAATGCGTGCATAGCAAACAGTTAAATTCAGATTTAAAGTAGTTTCTGAAACCATCTGTTATTCAGATTTTTGTAACCGACATAGATTTGAGGCTTTTACAAACTCGTTTGATCTTTACTCTTTACCAGCAAATTCCTTCATACAACCTGAACTTAAAGAATAAAGATCAGCAGCATGAATCTACATACTGCCCAGAAGAATGATATTATTAATTATCCTTGCATTTGATACAAATCAAATTATATCATTGCGAATAAACTTTTTAAAACTAGAACATTTCAACTGGACAAGACAGCTTTAATCCTGGACCTATCCCTCTTGTGGTATTGTTAGTGAAGTGTTCGGACTGTTTTTACTGCTCTGTTTTTGAGTCCTGTAGCTCAGTGGTTTTGAGTCCTGCAGCTTAGTGGTTAGAGCACTCGCCTCGCAAGTGAGAGACCTGGGTTCGATTCCCGGCATGTCGAAACCTCAGGCAAGTTTCCTTACTCCACACGCCTGATAATAATTCCTCAAGAAAAAAACAATAATAAATTGGTCACTTCAACCCACGACTGTTTGTGGTACACTGTTGTGCACAATTGGCTGCCGCGTTTCATCCACAAATATACAGTCAATTCACTTTACAGTATATTCTGTGAAGAGCTTTGAGACATTTCAAAGATGTGATAAGGCACTATATCAAATGCAAAGATTTTATATATAGCGCCATGTCATATCTTTGAGACATCTCAAAATGCTTCACAGAATATAATGTAAAGTGAATTGACTATTTTGTGGGTGAAATGCTCGGGAGGGGGTATTTAATGCTGCAGGGGCAATTACATTTTAACCTATTAACTTGCAGCTTCACAGACAAGACTAGCCAAAATGTATTTAGAATTGTACAGCTATAGCTTCCTATCCTTGAGGGAAGGCAGATTGACAGAACAGGTGCATCGTGAACAATTAATTTCTGACTTAATTGTAATTGCATTCTGAAAAATGGAATTATAAGAAATCTGTGGGATATGAAAAGACAAAAAATGTTTAAAAGCAACAACTAGCTTGGATAGAGAGCTTTTCATTCACAAGCAGGTGATTCATGCTGGTCTGTTAGCTCTACAAACACCACAGGTTCCCTCTTCAGTGGCCATTTTGTATGTATTTAGATGTACAGTGGGTGTTGGCAGGTTATTTGGATATCAGGAATAACAAATCTGAGTAAAATCTTATTTGAGGATGTGTCTACACAGTATTGAGGAAACCTGCACGTTCTCAACTTCAATGTGTTGTACAATTCATGTCAACACCAATCAACGATGATTTATCTGATTATAAAGTACTGTGGTTTGCTGTAATATTAGTGACAATTTATGCATAACACATGCATTTTTTAGGAAACTTTTAATATCAAAAGCTCAGGAGTAGAAATAGAGAAAAAATCATTTTAAAAAATTGTTTATAATTTAAACAATACAATTTTATACTTCCAGTTTTGTATAAAGTTGTTCCAATGTCTTAACCTTGTGTGACTATATATGAAGATTGCAACTCAGCAACGCAATTCTCATTTGAACCCTGATAACCAATATGTTTAAAAAAAGAATCTCCGAAATGGATTTTGAAAACTGTGTCATAGCCTCTCAATGTGTCTAAGGAAACCAAACCTGCCACATTAAAGGAACTGAATTCAACATCCCATTACATCAATTGTAGATTAAGATCATTAAAACCCATTACAAAAATGATACAATTAAAGCCGTAATTTGATGCCATAATATCTTAATATGCTAAGACAACAATATTAAGATAATATTTTTAAAATATGAATTTATAATATTTGGACTTCTGCCAAGTTAATCAAACTAACTGAAACTAAGTAAAGTTTTAAACCTTTTATTTTACAAATTACAATGTTATAATCTACATTATTTAACAGACGATTGATGTGCTGGATTGGCCTATTCATTGTGTTCAGGTATTAATTGAAAGTACAATTAATTGGAAACATTTTATGCTGTATCAGCATCAGCTTTCTACTCCAAGCATTTAGTGCTTAACCCATAACACGGGCAAAATGGCTGACTCAGGATTCTTTGGAGTATGATGGCTTGGAGTTCTAAGTTGAACAAATATTCTTAGATCAGCTTATACCATTATCTGTCGCCAACTCAATGCCATGAAGTCAATACCAGACGATTATGATGATGCACTGAATCTATGTTACATTCCTAGTTGACATCTTTCTTGTTTTTACTTAATGTTTCATGCACAAGGAGACCATAGTTTGTTTTTCTTTTTTTCCTTGTAGTTGTTCACACATCTGTGACTAGTTTGACGGTCATATTTTGGCCAACATGGCTTCCAGAATCTGATGGTTCACCAAGTATTTCCTTACTTGTTTCATTGTCCGTGTTGTTATTGAGAAAATCTTCACACTTCATCTGTACCATTAGATTGACTCGTTCAGCTACACAGTGTGCTGTAAGTCGTGCCTCGGGATCATGGTCCCAACACTCTATTATAGTATCACACAGGAAATGCATACCCTGTACAATGAACAGTGATAAATGATAAACATTGTTGTTACATTATAAAGATTGTTACATTACAATTAATTGCCACATGCCTTAATTTACAGTTGCTACAATATAATTTTTATTTGTACTATTAATGGCATTTACCATCACAATGGCATTAACACTGCATTGCCAGACTGCTCTGGCTGCCTGTTCCAGAGAGGATCGATTTCAAGATCCTCACCCTTGTATTTAAGTCCCTGCGCTCCTCTGCACCCCCCTACCTCTCTGTCCTCCTCTCTTCTCAAAACAGTACCCATTGCCTTCGTTCCTCCGGGTCTGGCCTCCTCCTCGTCCCCCGAGTCCTCCGCTCCACCCTCGGCCGCCATGCCTTCAGCCACTATGCCCCGAGGCTCTGGAATTCCCTTCCTCACTCCCTTCGCTTTGCCCCCTCTCTTCCTATTTTCAGGTCTCTGCTGTAGACCTTTCTTTTTGACTGCGCCTTTGGTCACCTTCCTCCCCCTCCCCCTGGCTCAGTCCCGGGATCCATTACTGTGAAGCGCTCTGAGAAGCCGTCCGGCGTAGAGGGCACTATATAAATCTAAGTTGTTGTTTTTGTTCCATGTAATGTGTCTTCTGTAATATTAGTGACAATTCATGCATGATGCATATTACCTTCTTAGGAAACTTCAATATCAAAAGCTCAGGATTTAAAAAGTTTATATATAAAAATGTATCATTTAAATATACAATTTTAATCTTCTAGTTTTGTTTAAAGTTGTTCCAATATCTTACTGAATTATTAAGATGATCCTTTGAAAATGTATGTGCAGATTTAAGCACTTTATTTTGAAAAGACAGTGACATATTGGACAGAGTCAAAACATTTTTTATAAAAGGTTCCTGGACCTTAAGATTTATGAGGAGAGGCTTGCAAACTGAATTCATTTTCATTCAAGAAAAGAAAAGCAAGGGAGGACATGATTCATGTCTTTGCTAAATGACAGTAAACTATTTTGATTTACATTGTATAGCACTAGAAGACAAAGGTTTAAATCAACAAACCTTAACTGGGCTGAGATTATAAAAAAAAACATAGTTAAACAGCAACACTGTTTAGAATTAGAATTGAAATTACAGATTTAGATATAGACCCACTTTAATCAAATACCCTACTTAAGATATTCCTAATTTTAAAGTTTCTGTATTCTGTATTCCAGGTGGCAGGTATAGTCACACAACAAATAAAATCATCTTATCCTGGTTTTATATTATACTTGGAAACTGAAGATTTAGCTGAAGAAAGTTGCCTAAGTCTGGTCTCCAATGTGTAGTGCAAATAGAATGACAATGACAATCAACATACATACTATGTGCAACAAAGGTTTGCAAAATGTGAATCTTGGAAAGGTTCTGGATGGCAGCTTATGAATGTTGCTGAACTAAGAAATCTACATTGAAAGTTATAGTAATCTTAATGTGAAATTAACAAGCTTTCAGAAGTATTAAAAACTGAAAGTTTTTCTTCAAAGATAATGGTAATATCTCCCTCTAAAATACATAACATGGTACTGCTGTTCCTTTTTTTAGATACCACATTCCTAAGACTTTCTTTTTCTTTTTGAACAAAAATAATTTACCAACTTGTATTAAGCACTCTGAGGTGCTATTCTGCATGATGGGGGCTATATAAATGCAAGTTGTTGTAAAATAGATAACCTCACTTACACTCCATTCTCTTTTATTCTTTACTTACTTTATGGAGTAGCCAGGTGCTGGGTATTTCAGGACGGCCTCTATCACGTAGCACAATATCTCTCATGCTTTCAACACAGGGGTGGTCACGTACCTTTGAGCCAAAGGGTGACTCATAACCTTTAACCTCTGTAAAAGAAGAATTTTAAAAAATGATCTATCAGTGTGCTACATCTCCATTTTAGACATCTGTTTTGGAGTTACTGTATATAATTCAAATAGCAATACAGTATGTTTAAAAATCAAAGGTTAGCTATAATTTTTAAATCTAGAAAACATTTTTTTAAGAATGCTCCAGAGAGCAGGACAAAATGGCAATGATGGGGAAGATGGGGTGGGGGGACAAGAAGCAAGCCAGTGTTTGCTCAGCAAAGGGAATGGTCAGGTCGGGAAGTCACAGGTAGGTTAATTAACTGGAAGACATAATGATACAGCACATTGGTTAGGAAGAAAAATTATGTTTAATATAAACATATTTGAACTTTAAACATATTAGAACTTTAGACATGGACATGCTCCTTGTATGAACCTCAGCACTGATTTTTAACCTACACAGTGAATACCAGCAGACTATTTGACTGAGCCCAATCAGTTCTGTACCTGATACTACATCCATATGGTTTTAAATGGTATAATATGGTAGAGATCCAGAGAGAAAATGCTTGGTTATTATTCTCTCTTTTTCTTACTGAGTACATTGAAGCAAATAGCATGTACTTCAGGAAATGTATAAAGAGCCCTACTTATTTGCCTATATTTTTAGAAATATTTACATTTAGAGGTCAGTCAGTCATTTAGAATAAGATAGTTAATAATGGCATTGCTCCCAGATACATTTTACAGGGTTGTGTAGGAAAGCAGACGTATCCAAATGGAGAGAGAAAAACAATAAAGTCTGCTGCCTGCTGGATTTAACCCTCCAATTGTTCCTACCTGGCATCAAATTTATTCTGATAAAAAGTGTGAAAAATGACTTTAGAAAAAATTCTGCAGATGTTGGAAATAAATAAAAACAGAAGTCACTGGGAAAACGTAGAAGGTCAGGCAGCATCTATGGAGACTGAAAAGTATGTTAACATCAAGTCGATGACGAAAGGTGAGACAAGGAAGTAGAAACATCTATCTCATTTTTTGACTGGACATATTACTTACCTCCAATTACTTCACATCTAGAAGCCATTTCCCATAAAACCAGGGCCATTGAGTAAATATCCATCTGCTTAAATGACTCAAGATCTTCTAGATTAACACGAGATTCTAGAACTTCAGGTGCCATGTATCTAGCAGTGCCAACCTAGACACAGAGATAAAGATATTTACATGGCCTTATGGTGGACCAGCAGATTATCAATCAACAAACACTGAATAGAAAATAGATAAACAGTGACAATAGTTTGGGGCATGCTTAGAAATCTAAAATACAATATTGTTTGCTAAAGTAAGACCAGATTTGCAGATAGTATATATACACAATTTGCTCAATTTGTAGATATATATATATTTAAATCTACAAATTGAGCAAATTTTACGAGAACTTAATTTTTTATCAGAGGATAAAATGGTCTACTTGCAACAATAGACTACGACAACAACTTGCACTTATATTAGCACCCTCCACGTAGGGTAGAGTCTCAGAGCACTTAACGGTGGCGGAGCCTTGAGCGCGGTTGAAAAGTAAGGTTTTTAGGTGAGACTTGAAAAAGGGGAGACAGGGAGCAAGGTGGAGGAATTGAGGGAGAATGTTCCAGAGTTTCGGGGCATAGTTCCATATCCTGGATTGTTGTTCAAACATTTGCATTTAGAAGAATTTAGCATTGGAAATGCAGTATATTCTTTTTTTAAAAATTCAGTAACAAAGATTTTTCTAAAGTACACAGAATAGTTTGATTTACAAAAGTTATAAAGTAATTATAGGATTCAGCACCACAACAAGATTACATTTGTATAGCGCCTTTCACGTCGGGAGGACGTCCCAACAAAACATGCACATTTTTATTAGTCCACAACCATCATCTGGGCTGTAAAGCTAGATTAAACTCATTCACTGGTAATTGCTATTATTTGATGTATTGCGCACTATTTTGATATTTTAAGTACAATAGATCTTTCCATATCTGGAAGATTGCAGTACAGAGACGATCACAAGAGGGCGCTAAACTCTTTTGTGATCCTTCAGCACTAGTAATGGAATTAATTGATGTGGAAATCTAAATATAGGTTGCATTTAAGCTAAACACAAGCTGACCATGTTATAAAGCAGTGGTTTGGGATCATTAACTCAGACCCCACATTATTAATGGATGCGTTAAAAAATGCCTACCAATCTGCACAGGAAGACAGCCAACAACCACAACAACTTGTATGTATATAGTGCCCTTCAGTGCAGGAAGCTGCAAATGTACTATCCTTCCAGTCCACAGTGCAAATGTACTGTAAATGGACCTGGAGCACATTTAACAGGGATGGTGTGTATTCACCTCCTCACACAGAAAAAACAAATTCAGAGAATATCCTAGGACAACAACAACAATACATTCGTATGGCGCCTTTCACGTCAGGAGGACGTCCCAAGGCACTGGACAGTCAAGGATCCGCACCCTGGTGGTTGGGATCAGGAGTGTGGAGGGTGGGGAGGGTAGAGGAAGGAGGGGAAGGCACGGCGGAAGAGGAGGGTCTTGAGACAGGTCTTGAAAGAGGCAAAGGAGTGGGATTCTAAACAAGGACATTCTCTGTGCTCCCTCAGCCATGTTGGAACAACAGTGCTGCAAGCCGGGGACATGTTGCTTGACTGCTCACTTATCCATCAAAGGAAACAACAGGACATGTTTCCTGTGTATCCCAGCTCCACAGGTCTTTAGTATCCTGAATGCTACCTTGCAAAACAGACATGAATGATATTCTCTGCTCAAACATTATTAAGCTACTGTTATCATCTTTTTGGGCTCCTGTATGACATCAATTAAGCAGCTTTTACAAGATCACAAGAGAGGTTTAGATGAAGAAACCCCTTCAATCTATTTGATCCCATTCATCCAGAATAGGCACTAACAGAGTACAGGAGAGGACTTTCTAATGTTGAGCAGGTGACTGGTAAGATGAGTGGGGTCTGTCAGTCAGCTAATCAGGGTAACCAATCTCTTTTTTGGAGCTCAGTGTTAGCCTCTGCTTCAATTCCAATAAAATCTGGAAGAGATTGATGTCTTTCCTTTTTGTTTGTGTGAAAAATTGCAAAATTGATAAACCCTTAATGTCCTCCCTTGTACTGCACAGAACTGTGCACACATCCAATTGGGATTATAATACCACCAGGGCACAATTTCCAGGTCACTTAAGAGCAGGAGAAATAAGCAAGAGGCACTGGAGTCATCGGAGGGCCTGTTGTAATAAAACATTGCTTCCCTCTGGTGGTTGTAGATCATAAGGGAAAGAGTCTTTAATTTTTTTTTAAAAAAGCTTCAGAACACAATGCGCACAGATTAAACCTGAGTGGGCTGATTTTGACCCTTGCAATCGGAAATATGAAGAATTAATGTAATAGGCCATATGGTTCGCTACAATATATGCTAGAAATGTCATTCCGGACTCACCTGACCACTGTTGGCAAAATTGTCTGCAGTTAGAGATGGGTCAAGCCGTAGAGCCAGCCCAAAGTCACACAGGACACACTCCCGTTCATTGTTAACCAGAATGTTTGTGCTTTTTATATCTCTGTGAGCTATAGGAATCTTTGGGGTGCCACAAGCAGTATAGTCACTGTGGAGGTGAGCAATCCCGTTTACTAGGGATCCTGCCATCATGTGCATCTCTGTCCAGGTCAGAATATGATTGGTCAAGTAATCCTGCAGATTTCCCATGCCGTGATAGGCTGTGATAAGCCAATATTGCTTTTCTATTCCTCTTCCTCTATCCTCTGCTGTCAGAAACTGCAATACACTCTCATGTTTGAGATCAGCATCAGAGAAAATCTTTCTTTCACTTTTCCATGATGTAAATTCCTCACAGGGGAAGATTTTCACTGCTACAGTTTCATACTGTTCTGAAGCACTATGTTTCAGCTTTGCTCTCCAGACTTCTGCAAATCTGCCTTTTCCAACCATGGCATCCAGTTCAATGGGCAACAATTCATTATTATGATTGAGATTGTTTGCACATGTTGCACTTATGTCAGAATGGCCATCATCAACCATCACAGTACACTTCCCATTGTACTCTCCAAGTTTTCCTTCATTGGCCCTGGTTAAGCTTTGGTGCTGTATCTGTTTCTGAGGCCACTCTTTGGTCACTTTTCTCTGTTCTCGGGTGCGATAGAGATAAAATCCCATTGTTACCATGAGAGCAACCAGAAGAGGTGGAAGTAGGCTCAATACAGCCACAGGAATCACCTCATGGCTTTGGGGTATTGGATACTCTGGAAAACAAATTCAGATGGTCTTGATAACATACATAAAATCTCACTGCAATGTTATCTGGGGTTATTCTCATATAGAGGGTAGCATGAAAACAATCTTCCCATCACATTAAAACTTCCAGTAGGGTTTTATATAGATTATGAATGGAAAAGGTTATATACATAAAAGACTAAGATGCAATATTGAACATATGTTCTTTCAGATCATGAATTTGATAACAATAATAATAATGGTAATATGGGCAGCTATAAATCACTTATTTTAGTTTAGCTGCTAAAACATCCTCAGCTGCATATTTATCAGTTTTATTGTAGTTAGTATATTAATCTGTATTGAAAGGCATTCACTAGGTTCCTGATTGAGATTAATGGAAAAGAGAGAAAGATAAAAATGGTTTTGACTCACCATTTATTTCTGGAGCAAATATCAACTTATCATTGCATTCATGTTCTTTGGTACAGCCACACACATAGATTATCCCTTCTTCTACCGACTGTTCAGTCATGAGACAGTTAGTCGTGTTGTAAATTGGTATCATTATGTCCTCCACAGGTAAATGTGGATAATGACACATAGTTTGAACGCTTGTAGATTCATTGTACCTTTTCCTGTAGGGAATAACAGAAGGCTTATTGAAGCATCAGATATAAAGTAAGAAAATAATGGATTGGAAAGAGAAAGGAGAAAACAAACTATTAAAAGAATCTCTGCTAGCTGCAATACAAATTAACTTTATTTTCTCCACCTTGGGTGAGAAAAAGTAATAATAATAATCCTTACATTTGATACACTGTCTTATCAAATCTTCAAGACGTTGTAAAGTGCTTCACAGAATACTCTGTCAAGTGAATTGACTTTATATTTTTGTGGGTGAAACACGGCAGCCAATTGCACACAGCAGTGTCCCACAAATAATTTATTTACTGATGAAAAGGAAGTTTCATGAGAAGAACAATTGTAAATAGAAAGGAATAAGATTTTTTTTGTGTTGGAGCGGTGATTTAAATGCAGCAAAATCCAATGCCACAGTTTTATAGCTACAATTCCTAACTAGAGAATTTGATTTCATATAATCATAGAATTATACAGCACAGAAGGAGGCTATTTGACCCATTGTGTCTGTGCTGGCTCTTTGAAAAGAGCTGTCCAAATCAATCCCACTCAACCGCTCTCTCCCCATAGCCCTCCAACTTGTCCTCCCCAAATAATTAGCTGCTTTACTCTTAAAACTTGTTATCGAATCGGCTTCCACCATCCTTTCAGGCAATGCATTCCAGATCTGAGCAACTCGCTGTGTGAAAACATTTTTCCTCACATGCCCTCTGTTTCTTACCCAAGCATTTCCCATAGTGTGAAGTTGCCCTAGGTCACTCTCACATACCATCTGGAAGCCAGATTTACACAGGCTGTACAGCATGGAAACAGACCATTTAGCCCAACTAGTCCATGTTGATGTTTATAGCCCACATGAGTCTCCATCCACTGTTCCCCTTTCCCCCATTGTACAACTTTATTCCTCTTAAATACAACTATTCAACCACTACTTCAGGCAGTGAGTCCACATTCTCACTGCCTCCTCAATTCTCTTTTCGTCCCCTACCCACTACCTTATATTTATGTCCCCTGATTAGAGACTCACTAACTCAGCAACACATAAACTGTGCTGGCCAAGACTTGGGAAGGAGGTTGCTTCCTGGAATAAAAAAAATAACTCCAGAAATAGGAGAAAATACATTTAAAATGGATCCAAAAGGAGACAATAAAAGTTCAAAAGTTATAACCAGAGTCATAACATATACTGCAATGAACAGCTATAAATCACAGACTTAATTCCTATTTTTCTTCTAGCTGTACCAGTTATAGGTGTTTTCATAATATGACTTTGAATTTATTTTGTTTCTAGATGTATTCCATGCTGCTACAGAATTCAAGAGAAGTAGATTCATTTTTTTTAAATATCTGAAAATATACACTGTTCCTTTTATACTTAAAAATTAATACTAATAATATACTAATAATCCTTGCATTTGATATAGCGCCTTATCACATTTTCTAGATGTCTCTAAGCGCTTCACAAAATATACTGTAAAGTGAATTGACTGTATGTTTTGTGGGCAAAATGCATCAGCCAATTGAGCACAGCAGTGTCCCACAAACAGTCGTGGATTGAGTGACCAAATTATTATTATTATTATTTTTGAAGGGATTATTATCCCCAGAAAAGCGATCCGCCAATCGACTAACAACCAGGTTCCTACTTACTGCCAAGTAAACAGAGGCGTGTGGAGTAAGGAAACATGCCGAATGTTTCACCCTGCCGGGAATTGGTCCTCTCGCTTGCGAGGCGAGTGCTCTAACCACTGAGCTACAGGGCTCCAATGTTGTGGAAAGCAGTATTACTCATAAAAATTAGAAATGTGATAAGACACAAATGTAAAAGGCTTGTAAAATGGTTTGCAAAATGGTTTAAAACACAAATTTGCTTTATTTCTGCAAATTTCAAATTTCAGTCTGATTAGTTTGATTGCTCAGTCTTTTATTATGGAAGGTCATTTTGAACAATGGAGCTGCTCATACACCACCTGATGGCCACAGTTTTTAGGTCATTTCCAAATTAACACTGAATTTCTGCACACCCTTACATTTTAATGATCTCAAGGCAAAGACTGTACAGGATTTCAGGCCTCGGTAATATGAACCTGATTTTTCACCTTCCTAGTCTAGGGGGCACTGAGGCTAATTCTTGTGCCCCCCAATGCTGCCTCGGGTAATATTAGCTAATGCAACCCAGAACAGGAATTGATCCTTTATGATCTGTACGACCAAGTTATGCATTTGCCAGTTAGTGCATTTAACCCTCTGAGCTATTGGTACAGCTAAGGTTCTGTTCTTTCATATAAAACCAATGTTTCATATTTCAGAAATACATTATGAGTTTACATGTGTTCTGCAACTGTTGAATCAACATCATGTTGAGTGTTTTATCTTATTTGGAGCATTTGAATTCCATGGGATATCTCTTTCAGCAGGAAACAATTAACACAAGCCTTTTCTAAGCATTTGTCTTTGATAGATTGATATAACAAGGTAAGATTTCCAATAGCAGAGTGTACAATGTCATTAATGAACTCTAGTGACTAAATGGGCGCTTTTGAAACATCTGACTGTAGCTTACAGTTCTTAATGTAACTATTATTTTCTGCAAAAAGTAACTGCTTCAATATTTCAGTCAACTATTACTGCTAGAAAACCTGGACTTCATAAAAACCCAATCCTAACAATAACAAAGGAATGTAATGTACGGCTATATAGATAAAGGCTGCCAGTGGAAGGACCAAGCCTAAGTAAATATCCAGAATGGAGCTGCATTGATAACATTCACTAAAATTTTAGTGTGTGTTTCTGCCTATGGAAGACGTCAATTATGCAGAATTGTTTTAAATTCAGATACACAAGACATGCAGTTTACAGAATCAAAAACTGACAAATAACACTAACCATATGGCAACACATATTTCCTCTGAACTTTCACAGTAGGAATTAAAGGTACAATTACTGTAACAAATGTTGTCTTCACATATTGGATTTGTACGGTCGCACCACCTGCATAGATTTGTGTCCAAGAAGCTTGTAAGGACGAGGGTATTCAGAACTGCAAATGCAAAGAAAAATAAGTACAATTAATCTATTTACAGTTGATACTAAGTTTGGCAACATTGAACACAAAATCAAAAGTACAAAATCAAAGTGAATATATTCTATGTTTATAAATATGGGGCTACTTTAAAGGGACTGCAACATCTTGCAGAAAAACCTGAAATCTCACAATAACAATCTACAAGTATGTAGACACATATGAACCCAATGTGCAATACATGAGGAGCACTGAATTAAGTAACAAATAAAATCCATATGCTCTGTCTCCTACCTTTTTGTGCTGTTTGGCTAGTAGGTTTTACCCAATGCCTAAACATTTGCCATTTTTTCCAGGGTGGGGGAAATGGCATGGCATTGCTTGGGATTTGCCAAAATCCAACATGCACACTGAGGAACTGCACAACAGAATAGATTCTTTGGTTTCTGATTGATCAGGGATATTGTTTAAAAATATTCAAGAAACATCTACAACAATGTTCAATATCTCCACCCTGGCCACATTCACAGTTCTATGTCATTCAGTGATTCAGACCCTTTAACATAGATTTTGTTAAATTCTAAATAGTTGTTACGTTTTTGACACAGAAGGTTGACAGTTATAACATTAGATCTCCAACTCTATAACAGGTCTAAAATAAAGTGACAATGGGAAATTTCAATCCATTTACTACCAGATATGGGCTTATACGTGTAAAAGCATAAAGATAAAGACAAAGTGTTTCGGATTTCCATTGCTATGTGAATTTATTCGGGATAAGTCTGATTCACTATTCACATTCCCTTTTAAAGATTACAGATTGATCTGATTTAGTGAAGAAAGTTACTGTTTGCTTCAGCCCCCATCAAACTAATAGGCTTCATCAGGCAACACAGAAAAGTTCTTAAAAAAGGGTGAAATCTAAAATCTAAAAATGGTGAAATCTAAAGTTGTTTTGAACTACCTGTAGTTCAACACTATACAGCAGAAGCATCTGAAATGTATCTATAAAAATTCATCAGAATTTCCCCATCAGCAAACTTGTTATGGCCCTCTATTTCTTATTTCCTTTATAGTCCTACGTGACCCTCAGAAAGCACAGTCCATATCTTGTGAAGTGATCAGTCAGTTTTACCCAATTTTTGGCTCTTTGAGGATGGCCAGTTACATGTTTGGGGTAGTTTGGAGCTGTGTAAAAGGCTGTGATTGACCAACTAAGATTGCAATCTTCTATCAGTAAGAACATTAACTTCTTGGAGTGAATTGTATCCCAGCCCCTTCCCCCACAGCTACATTCTGACTGCCACATCATTCATATTAACTCTAATTAAATCCAGATGACCAATTGCAAATTAAGCCTTCGATGATTTAATAAAGCTGCACAAACATAAAAAAAGAAGATTGTGCATTTATGAAGGAGTTCCAGATGTTCCCGAGGCAAATGCAAAACATCAAAATATAAACTTCAAAAACTTTGGAAGAGACACTAGAGTGAAATAAACCTGATTAAAACAGCTCATTTTCCCAACTAAAAATAAAACACGTACTTTACTTTCCTAAGCCAAATATAACCAAGTATAAGTTTAAGTTCGGATTAAGTTTCTAAACACAAACATGAAATGGGGAATGTTGCCAGATTCTATATGATTATTACAGTGTTTGCTTAAACTAGAAAGTATAAGAGTTAAGTTAACATGCACAAAGCACGGAAACTGAAACAGTATGAAGTGAGCTGTGTTTGTTTCCACCATTGTTCTGGAATACACTGGCATCAGTTACTGATAACTAATTTTCTGACTTTTGTCTCATTAAATAGAAAAGTAAAGAAAACATGACTAAAAGGCTTGGTAAACTGCAGATGGATATAAACAATTTTATTGTCAAACTGCAGTATTTACTTAGAATCATAGAATCGTACAGCACAAAAAGAGCCCATTCGGCCCATCGAGTCTGTGTCGGCTCTTTGAAAAGAGCAATGCAGCGTCAATCCCACTCCCCAGCCCTTTCGCCATAAACATGCAAACCCGTCCTCCTCAAATACCCGTCCACCGTGTTTTTAAAAATTGTTATCGAATCAGCCTCCACCACCCTTTCAGGCAATGCGTTCCAGATTCGAACAACTTACAAATTAGATGTAAGAAAGTACTCGGAAAGTATTTCTTAAAATGTACTTTATCACACTTACCATTTATTCTTTATCTTTTTAATATTAGTTACTGATTTCACTTACTTTGAAATGTAAGAGTTTGGTGCAGGAGCTGCAGAGTTACACCGAATCCTAAAATAATATGAGTTTCATTTTTATCTATTTTTCTATTCTATCTATTTTTCATTCTCTATCAAAGTGACATGAGAGCAATAACTCCAATTGCATTATAGGAAAGAAAACTGCTAAAAAGCATCAAAATAAATCTGCTCTACAATATTCAGATCATTTTAAAATTTATTTAAACAACATTGAAAAGCTAATGTCTATCATAGAATCATAGAATTATACAGCACAGAAGGAGACCATTTGGCCCATCGTGTCTGTGTCTTTGAAAAGAGCTATTCAATTCAATCCCACTCCCCCGCGCTCTCCCAATAGCCCTGCAAACTTGTCTTCCTAAATAGTTATCTACTTCTGTCATAAAAGTTGTTATTGAATCGGCTTCCACCACCCTTTCAGGCAATGCATTGCAGACCCGAACAACTCGCTGTGTGAAAA